CGTGCACGTGAGTATTTTTACAGTGTCTAGAAATATACTAGACACTGTAGCATTTCGTCAATTCCGCGTTGTACATAGTGTGAAGAAAGCACGGACAACGATCTGATTCTACGGAGCTGTCCGTACCTTGGTTCGAAGAGACCCGACTGCCACTGACGCCAGTCGCGCGGCCGTGGAGGCGCCGTAACGGGTGCGGGCATGCGTCGCTGAATGTTCGTATTCCAGCTTGGGGTTGGGCCTGGTGCGAACGATACGCGTCCCGAGCCATAGTGCTGGAACTCAGGAATAGGTGCGCAGCCTGACGGTGGTAAAGGAGCGGAGGCGTCCGCCAAACCCCGTGACTTCAAATATTCCGGTGGTCGTTCATAGACGAGACTCTGAACCGGAGCTGGCCCAAATGTTTGAGGCCCTTGGTAGGCGGCAGGCCGTGGAGCGGCCGGAGCCTGTTGTGGACCCTGTGGGTAAGCTGGTGCCTGTGGGTAAACAGGTGCCCCGGGGTAAGGAGCAACTAGTTGGTAAGCCGGAGCTTGTAGATAGCCCACATAAGGATGTGTGATAAACGGCCCTACACTTGGGTCCCGCTCTTGATGTGTGCTGCCCCTTCTGTCTATGCTGTGGCGTCTTCGAGAACCTCGATCTTTGCTTCGCCTTCGGCGATGCCTGGAATGGGAGCTTCGACTTCTTCGTCTGTGGCGGGGGTTGGCGTAGAAGTCGTCCGAGTCACCGCTCTCTGTCGTCGATAAGCTTTCGTCGCCATCGCGGCTCTGTCTGCGAAGCGACCGACGGCGTCCGTTGCTGTCTCGCTGGCGATGAGACGCGGTCGCGCTCGACCGTCGTCTTGTGCTTTCAGCGACGGGGCCAGTTCTATGCCCGTTGGTATTAGAGACCTGGGGCACTAATCCACCAGTCGCCGGGCTCATAAGGGACGCGAGTGAAGGCGGCGTCTGTGTGGTGTCGGGTGAAAAGTAGTCCGAGACCGGTCCTTGATAATGCGCGGGCTTATGCGCCGAGCGTTGATTTGGAGCCAGGCTAGGAGGTGATTGGGCAGGACTCTGGTTGAGCGAATTAGCACCGGACGGTTGTTCTTTTGAATTCGCGTCTCGCCCAGAACGGGCGGGAGCCGGCTTGGCGTGTGGACGCGGTCCCCTCGTCACCGCAGTGCTGGTCGCCACTGGTGCCCGACTAGGGTCGGTGCTCGCCTTTCCCGATGCCTTGTCTTTGGCGGAAGCATGTGGGCGCTGCTTCGCGACTGGTGACGACGGGGATGTAACTGATGGCCTTTCGCTTTTCTTTTTCTCTGCCATGTCGGCAGTGGAACCGAGCTTTTGGGAAGTAGCAGATTTTACCTTTCCACCACGCTTACGGCTGGCCGATCGCTGTTTTTCCTCTGTGTCTATGCGGGAAAGAGTGACGTTGGTTTCTTGTATGATGTCGTCGATGTCCACGGGAATCGCAGAGGCCCCCCTCGTGGTTTCTACAATGTCGAAGTCGTCGGGAAAGGAGGCGAACTCGTGCGGCTGATTCTCGTTCGGCGTATCTAGCAGGTCGTCGACGTCGCTCCTGAAGAACTGTTCGGTGATCGGACACTCATCGGCGTCCTCCTCGGCGTCTTCACTCTTGTCAGCTCCAGTGTCTTCAGTACCAGCCTCGGGTGTCTCCTTCTTTGGCGAGGAGTCCTTCTTTCCTGATGGTTCGTCGGTAGACGGGTTCATTTCCCGTGCCACAAAGAACGTAGGGCGCGTGACCATGGGGCACGCGATTGCGAAGAATGAGAATGACGACGACGACGCCACTAACCAAAAATGGAGCACCGGAAGTGACAGAGGCTGAACGTACCATTAGATCAACCACTGAGACAATTCAGTAATATTAAGGATTATGTTTAATACATATGTCTAAAAAAGTATTAATTAAAGCAGCGTAAATAAAACAACAAATAATATAAGGACAATGAAGTTGACAATTCAATTCTCGAGAATAGAAAAACCAATATATATATATATATATATATATATATATATATATATATATATATATATATATATATATATATATATATATATATATATATATATGGCGTTACGCAGACGTTCCTGCGCATTGTTCTATGTAAATATTTCAAGTACACTATAACAGTTCAGGAACAGACATACCTTATTCTTCTTGATGTAGACGTCCTGAACCACCAGGGTACACACCGACTTCGATGGGTCGGTGAAACTCACATTGAATATGTCATTGTGACACGAGAAGTGTGATACGGTGCATTTAGTTATTATTTAGTACGTTTAGTACTTCGTGCATGTAAATCTCTTATGAGTCATCGTTCCTTTATGGGTATCACATGCCCCATTCCCTTTTTTGTGACACCTTATCGCCTACAAGGCTGCAGGGGCTCGTGCGAGTATCATCCTATGCTGCGGCTGCACTCCGCTTATTCAATGCTGGCGTGACCAGGGGGTCAGGGGAGGAGGGAAGAGTATACGATACGTTAATGCACCAACCCTCAAAATATACCAATTTTGCATGTGTATATGTTGACATATTAAGACACACGCACAAACATGCATAAAGAGTGGCTAACCACCTTTCAAACCCTTAAAAAAGTTCTGCCTACGCCTCCATTACTCAATCAAGCTCCCTTGCGCCATTTAGCTGATTTTATCAATTTCAACCATGGAGCTGTTTCACGCGGCCATTAGTTAATCAGCTCCGAACAAAAATGGTCGTCGTTGTTAACCAGCGCACGCTCTCTTCATCCGCTTCTTCTTGTTGGTCGTCTTCCTCTACTGCTTATCTCCCAGAACACGTGCAGCGAATTATCAGATGCGGGAGCCAATAACTCTGATGGGTGAGCGAAAAAAGGATAGATAAAGAAATTCTAAGGGGCAAAATGTATTCGTGTGACTACATTGCAACCCACGCACCTGCCATCTGAAGACGAGCGCTTTCATCCTACTCTCTTAAGAACTCTGACTCTATTTTTACACTTGTGAGGGTCACGTTCTAGTTACTGCCTTTTGAGTGGCCCATTGCCTCTCTTTAGGAGAGTCATGCGTAGAACGATTGTCAAAGTATCGCGTATGATATAGTTTATGTGCTTGTCGATGTCATAATATCGTGGGATTCACGATACGCTTTGTCTATGCCACGTAGCCTAAATTTACATGTTGACAACTTCAGCTACCACAACGGTCAAATCATGATCATGGGTGTTAGCCGCCGTGATGTGAAGGCGTTGACGGCAATGCGGGTGCGTCCACGCACTAGCGCTGTAGCTACTCTACACCAATGGGCATTCATTGTACGAGTTTTCATCTAAGAAGTAGAGCGCAATAAGCTCTAATTCTGTGAAAATAAAATACGTTTCACTTTCGTGTTATACGCCGATTCCTATGAACCTTTCACCTTCATGCCTACGACGGCGGCAACAGGCATTTTTTTTTCTCCCTTTCTGTTTTCTCCTGTATTCATTATTAAATAGACGACATATAATCTAATATTAATTAATTAATTTGTAAAACTACCCAGTTCTCGGCCAATCCCTCGCTTGGGTGTGTGCTACTGATCAAGGCTCGACTCTACCTGAAGAAGTTGCGCTGTATTTTTATTACTATTAATTATTCATAACCAACCAGCCCGAGGTGTGACATTTTGTCAGCATGTGGGAGTGCGTCAATACGCCATAGATGTCCCCTCTCACGTCATCCTAATTGCGTGTCTAGTTTCATGCGTGTTCTTTTTCATGTGCCGGATCAAGGTTGAGCCCTTTCGAAGCAGTTATGAGAGGCGTCGTTTGTGGACTATCTAGGGCGTATACTATGCGCGCATTGTTTCACTATGAGTTAAACGTGTCTTCGAACTTCGCTGGTTCTAAAGACCCTGTTCCTCGCGCCGGCACGTGGCGGTGTATACACTTTACCACAAATAACGTGGAATATTCCCGTCAAACTTACGCATCTACGTATTGTGTAATTGAGGTCATATTCGACAACCGAATCAATGAGCACACCATGCATTGTTTATACTGCGCAAACGAAATTCCGAGGCCGCACATACACTGCTTAAGACGCAATGTGGCAGGTCTCGCCGGCGTATCACACTCTTTTTGGCCTAGCGCCTTACCGTCATTCCTGCCACCACGCACGTTAAATAAAATATTCATTCAGATACAATTATTTCTTGCGAACTTGAGATAGCGTTACGACTAGCGTGGCTATGGTACTTCATCCCAGCGTTGTGCTATGCTAGTAGTGTTCTTCCACCCTAACCATGTACTCTACCATCCACCGTGATGATGTTTGGGTAGTCCCTGCACACTGAGCATCTTGGCAAAGCATTGCAGAAACAGAGCATTCAGTACATAATGCAGTGGTTATGAAATGAAGTCCCGCGGACCCCAGGAGATCTGTGAAAGCAATTCTAGAAAAAAATTAAAATAAAAAAGCATTCATGGAGGCACACCATATATCCCGTGACAGCCACCTTATTAATGCTGCATGTGGTGTTAGTTTATCACCTCCGTCCTTTGTTTTCTCTCTTCGAGGGGTTTCCCACCACTTCTACAAGCCCACGGCTGAGAACTACTTACATATTGCCGATACTATACAGACTAAATATCACCATGGGCTTGAGATATGACTTTCCATCCATGCTTCTATACGAGACTTCTTGCTTTTCTCTTAGCAGGTAGCAGTGGTTGTTTGTATTTGATTAAGGTGGTGGGTTGGGCCTGTCGGTATATAATTATGCCACACTATAACGCAAAAAACACACGACGGACAAAACCACAGACGACGACGAGCGCTGTCGTCATTGCTTGCGTTTTGTCCGTCGAGTGTTTTTTGCGTTATAGTGTGCCAGAACTATGCAGTTTAGGAAGGAAGATGTAGGTTGCACGCGAATGTAGCCTTGCGAGATTTGCAGCTGTAAGGAGAAAAAGGCTCCTCACGAGACTTTAAGGATTCCACTGCAGGCAAAGTAAGCACACGCTTTCACCATTATACGAAAACAAGCGTCACACTTTATTGTTGAGCGTAAGACAGCTGCGACACGGCGAGGCACATGCGGATGACACCGACACTGCTGTACTCGTACTACGGCTTCCAGCTGGGGTCGAAGTTCTTGCGCAGTCCCTGCCAGCAGGTGTAGTACTCCTTGTCGAGCGCCTGCGACTCGTGCTCGGCCCACGGCGTCACCGCCATGCTCAGGGAGCTCTCGAACATGAACGCCTGCGAAACACCACTTGAGCTTAGGTCGCAACACTATACATCCTTGGCATATCGTTTTGCGACAGTACTGTGCGATTTTCGGTCAAGCGCCGCTTTGAAGGGATCATGAACGATCTCTCGATTGGGCTTGGTGAGAAACGGTATCCTGCGTATAAGCAGACCCTTCCATGGGCATCTCAGCTAAACCTTGCAGTCGTTCGCGACAATGACAGCGTACAAGCGAAGCGCGAAGCTGCCGTTTCCTCAGGCAGAGCCCTGTGCTCACTCTCTTCGAAGCTGCCAGCGCCTGCTATCAAGCGTCGAACAGCGGAGCGCGCCATTGGCCGACAGCCAAGGTATATCGAGTGCCGTTTTTGGATCAGATACGCTTCTTTCTACGGAGTGGCGGCGCTGCGCCCGATAGCCTACTAACATTACACAGTGAGCCACACTCGCACGCAGGATTAGCACCGGGAGAAAGCGATCGCCTTTCACCATAAAGTTCGTTCGGTCAGCGACCATTGGAATGATGGGGACTACACGGATTAGCTTATAGTCTTCGTGCTTGCGTGCTTCAAACGCACTTGTGGCTTTGTTTATTGTTGTGTTTTGGTTTTGTTTCGAATGAAAGAGATCACCGTTTCGAACTTCGTGACCCGATTTGAACTGGTGAACCTAAAAGGTTACGGCGGTGACATGCAACTGCTAAACAACTGCTTATCATCGTTTTCTGTCAAAACAGCCCCAAGCTACGCGAAGCCGAACGGAGCCGAAAGTACGAAGACAAGACGAATACATGTACTACCCATCATTCCCGCGCTCGCTGAAGCGCCATGTGCGCCAGATTTACCTCTAGTGTAATTATAGGAAGTTTTATGATTTTCGTAACGCACGCTCTAAGTCATGAGTCATGATCTATGCTGACGTAGCTTTCTTCACGCGATTCCTCCCTGCTTACCGTTTAGCACGCTCGTTGGAACGAAATTTAAAAAAAAAAAACTCTTTAGGCGAAAGCCTTTAGTGTGTCATACACACGCCTGTCCATCCGCCCGTTCCCTGGAACGGTGCAGCTGTGGCATATCCCTCTTACATGTCGCTCAGTAACCACGTTATTGCTGAGAGAGTGTACAAATTATAACACAGGAACGAAAAGATACGCCATAGTCAGTCTTAACAAAATAAATTAGGAATCCCTGCATGCGACCAGAATCGAAGTTTACGGGTTCATTTCCACACCACATTACATGTCAAGACACAACTTCAGTTCAGACTATAGATCTGTCTGAAGTTTGAGGGGAAGTTGGAAGGTGGGAGAGGAGGGCGGCTCCTTTGCCCCTGTAACCAACGCTCTCGGTTGGCGCATGCATTCAAGTTGTGTGCGCAGCGTGTTATTAATGACCTCTTTTCATTCGAAGTTTCTACGCAGCATCTGTCACAGACTTCTACGCACGAACAATCGCTACAAATTGCCTAACGAAGCCCCGAAAAAAGATCAACTCTCGAAAATTGCTTATTGTACGGTCTCGGGCGCTACAAAGGCGAACTGCATCGCATTATTTTCGCGCAAAGCTCTTACAATATCACATTTAATGGGCTTCGTTTCTTTTATGGTCGCGGCCACTGCATAATTACACAGGAAAAGCGAAGCACAAGGACGCAGAATGTCATGCTAGCAGTTTTCTATAACGCGCACCCAATTTATCGAACGACGCTCTTTGATGTCGAGCAACAACTAAAGGCTCAGCAATTAAGTTCAGTGGGCTGGATAAGCGCCAATATGTTGCTACTACGCGGGCACTCACAAAGAGTGACTTTCCTCAAAGTAGGGCGGGCTGTGGTAGCTCTTGGAGAGCGTGGCGAGGGGGCGGGCGCTAAAACTTGTGCCGAGTAGTCTCCCCTGCCAAAGCATGCATGCTTTAACAGAAGCGCTCGCAGCGTCCTTTCTTGAGGAATGCAAATACTATAAGCTCACGCAAGCGCTTCGTCAAGCTCGTTTGAGCACCGTGAAAAAACTCCTCGTCACAAACTGCAACTTTAGCCCATCTTGGTGATGGTCGTGCGAAAGTATCGCTTTCCTGTCGCATTTTTTGCTTAAGCCTTTCTAATATCTTGTGATGTTGGTCGCGTCAATGCACTCGGGCGTGATTAGAAGCAAAACAGGGCGTATGGAAACAATAATGTGCTTTATCATAGAGTTGCAGCTCTTTTGTGCGAAACAAATGTTTCATGGAAAGTATACAAACTTATACTTCGATGCCCCGCCAGCAACGTCGTCCTACACTAGACGTCGATTCAAACTCTTCGAGCGGTATTGAAAATTTGAGAAGCAATCTCACATGACGAATGCCGAAACAACAAAAAGAATGCATCGCGACACTATAAAACCGTTCTCTTATAGACCAGTTTTCAAGTTTTGCTTTGATACGTATATCGCAGTGTGCACGCGTTGCTGCATCACCAGGATCTTATTGAGGCGTTCTATTTATTATAATATATTTATTTAAAACTACCAACAATAAATAAGAAATAAAAACAAAACAAGAAAACAATGTCTGAACAAGCTTGTTGATCACACTTGAGGCTCAAGGTATTCGATTTTTCACTCAAAATGTGCCAGTGACATGGCGTGCTGACACAAGTTGTTTTTCTTTGTGTTTTATTATTCGGGATCACAGTTTTCTAGCGTTGTTGTTTTTTGCTTAGAAACTTCTTTTTGTTAGATTCTGCTTTTTTTTTGCTTAGTCAAATAATGAAGGTCCGGTTATGGCGATTTTAATTAATCAGTTTCGTACCACCCAACATGTCATTATTTTTTGCCGTTTTCACGCTCATGTTTGCGTGTTCATACCCGCCCCGCCGGGGCGGTCTATGTTGGCTAAGGGCTGAGATACTCGGCTGCTGACCCGTAGGTTGCAGTATCGAATTCCGGCGGCGGCGGCTGCATTTTCGATGGAGGCAAAAATGCTGTAGGCCCGAGTGCTCAGATTTGGGTGCAAGTTAAAGAACTCCAAGAGGTCGAAACTTCTGGAGCCCTCCACTACAGCGTCTCTCATATTCATGTGGTAATTTTGGGACGTTAAAACCACATATCAATGAATCGTGTTCGTAAAATATTCATTTGCCTCGTCTTACAAACCCTTATCGAAATTGAGAGAAAAGCAAGATTGCCGAGTCGCTCGATAGTGTTTTGCCGTAGTTCTATACGCTCGCCTTCTTATATATGCCCTGCCTTTCAGATAGACAAATCAGTATAGTCAGCGCTCTGTCCTGCATGCATATATTCTTCGTCCTATCGTCTGCGCTGTTTCACCGCTGTTACACCCCTGTCACACGGGCGTTTGGACGGTCATCGAACCAATGGTCTATTGACTCAACTGTCAAGCCCAGATGCCACACGGGCGTTTTCGAAGGTCATTGAGTCAATAGTTTAACGAGGCAACGGAGCACCCCGACACTGTGTTGAAACTTCGGCGGCCAAGCGGAAACAGCGCAAGCGCAAAACGTGCCCTTTCCTTCGCAGTGTGCTGGTACACGCGATTTTAAACAAATAATCTAATCGGTATGCTTTAAATCGACATATCTGAGTGTTGGTAATTACTTATTATAGTATTCTTATTACTTTGAATGTGCGATTGCACATACTCTTGACAACAGCCACGTGCTTGCCGTCAGTGTGCTCTCTCACAGTGTATCGCTCGCCACAGTTTCACTGCTCAACTTGAAAATTCATAACTACCAATAAACACTTCATTGAAATATTTAAACAACGTCAATAGACATATTTTAGTTTTGAATGAACTTGCGCTTTTAACTTTAGGTGGCATTATACGAAGAGAAGGATCCGCTGAGCCGCACAGTTTTTGCGGGAAATGCCTGAAGCACTCAACGTCCATCCAAAACTTCCACGCATCGTGACAACACCATCTAGCCGATAGAGTTGTGCAAAGAAGCAGGCAAACGTCGACGGGATGAACGACAAACTATATATTCTGTGAGAAGTCATTTAGTCTGACGCGAACAAGAACAGACGCAACCATGTCGCGCGTGGTGCGTTGTCATCGTCGTATTATGGCCGAATTCTTCTGCTTCGCACTAGCGAGCTACAGAGTTGTGACATTTCGGTGGCCATGCACTAGATGGCCTTTCAAAAGGTCCCGTGTGACAAAGTTATGAAGTCAGTTACTGAGACAATCAGCGGTCACACTTCGTCGATCTAGGCAACGCTTCTCCTGTCTTTCTAAGCTGTATCATGCTACATTGTCTTCGAGAGATAAAAGTACGGAAGTTCGCACGAAGGATAACAAGTACACAAGTTGACTAAATAAACTACGTCGTCATGTCTGGTATTTGTCTTCTGACTCCGCGAGTTGAACATTTTCGTCGATGCCGGGCTATAATTGACTCAACACGCACTTGTTATCCGCGTAAGCATGAATGCATAACCTTGACATGTTCAGAGAAATAAAAAAAAAATCACCAACCAAGCACTCCGTACATATTGTTAACCAGCGAAAGCTGAAACGTGCGGCTGTGGTGTTTGGCAGTGGATTTGACCCCACAATGCACTGAAGCCTGTCACAATTATTTGTCACATGTTCGTGCTTCTTAATGAGGTTATGCACACGTTTGGCTTGAGTTTACCACAGTGTTTATTTCACGTGACACACATTGCGCCTCACATGATCACGATGATGTAAAAGTGTAATGAGCGGTTGAATGCATTTCGCTGTCGGTTAATCACAATCGTTGTTCTCGAACTACAGGCGGCCACAGACTTCGCAGTCGAAGCCAAGGAACCGCTGGAGAAACTCCTGCCGAAAGCGGGCGTTCACCCGGGCAAACACGCTTCCGCAATCATCACGTTGGCGCTGTCGTGCCTGCAACGGCACTTGTTAGGCGCAGCGTGATTGTAAGCGTTTCACATCGCGAGTTAACTTGGCGGCGTGGCTTGCATGATCCACCCACCACCGGCGCTTGCATTCCCGTTCGTGACTTAGCGCGGCTTGAAAGGCTGCCGGATCATCGGTACGCAGTTGCTGCCGGCACTCGGCCTCGCGGTCTTGTTTCTGTGCGCAGACTGCAGCATCGACCCGGCGAATGCGAGCCTTTTCACGTTTCCACTGTCGTCACTGATGTAGAGTTGTTTGTGGCTTATCCATGTGGAAGATTTCAGTAGAAGCTGATGAGCGCGTGCTTGGCGCCTCGGGTGAAACGGGATAAACAACGTCCCTCACAACGCAGCCAATGACACGCAGGCTAGTGTACGACGGTGAGAATGACGTAACTGATGACGCAGCCAATTGAGAGCGCTCGTGACACTGATTCCGAGTAGTTTTTTGTGTTTTCTAGCCATATACACCTTGCCCCGCTGCGGTGGTTTAGTGGCTAAAGTACTCGGCTGCTGACCCGCAGATCGCGGGACCTAATCCCGGCTTCGGCGGCTGCATTTCCGATGGAGGTAGAAATGTAGGCCTATGTGCTGAGATTTGGGTGCACGCTAAAGAACCCAAGGTGGTCGAAATTTCCGGAGCCCTTCACTGCGGCGTCTCTCATAACTTGGGACGTTAAGCCCCACATATCAATCAATCGAACCATATACACCTTTTGCTGTAACACTGATAATATTCAGAAGTTTACACAAAAAAAGCGTAAGAGTTAACGCCTTAAAGAACGTGCCTGAAGTCTCAAGAGCATCTACATTGTACTATAATGTGATAGAGTCATTTTGAGTGGGCCGAGCAACCAGTTCCACGCCTGTTTTGGGGTGAGGTGCGGTGAGAGGAAAAAATGAAGAAGGTGAAGGACACTTGGTAAATTCCTAAGTGTGTTCCGCGTAAACATGTGGGCACCAAACTGACTGAGTCATATCTCATTTTTTTGCTACTTTTATCAAGCTCTCTAACCGATCACCTGATCGTGTAAGGGATTGATTGATATGTGGGGTTTAACGTCCCCAAACCACCATATGATTATGAGAGACGCCGTAGTGGAGGGCTCCGGGAATTTCGACCACCTGGGGTTCTTTAACGTGCACCCAAATCTGAGCACACGGGCCTACAACATTTCCGTCTGTTCATGCCCTGGTTCCAGCCGTGGCCTCTCTCTCCCACACTATCTCAGCAATCTTGTGATAGCACAGCGGCGCATAGCGACAGCTGTGCTGCCACAGCTGTGGCCTCTATCCCTTACATTCATAAATCACGTGATTGCTGAGGCTAAAAAAACGAAGAAAAAAACTAACAAAACAAGAGAAAAAAAGCACATGGTATAATCAGTTGAATATCCATAGGCTTTCGCGAATACACTTTGCAATTTGCAAAGTACCCTTCAATTTTTTTTCTATCCACGTCCGGTGCCATATTTTGAACCCCTCTTTAATCCAACTCAAAATTATGCGAATCCACGCAGCATACCCATAGTTTCCATGGTAACTGAACGATTACAGCAATAGAGATGTCACAAAAATGCGGTGGCGCTGTCATCGGGCGTTTAGTTTCGCGTGGTAGGCAAAAGCCGTCGTGCCTATACGCAGTTGCTGCCGTGTTTTCCCTGATCCATGCACTGTTTGTTGCCCTTCAAAGTATAAAAACGTTGTACCGACGAGTAGACACGATTATTTGAGCGAGAAGGCACGAAAAAACTGGGCTAGGTCTTTTTTTTTCTTTGCAGTTTTCTGTTTACAAAAACCGTCGCAAGAAGATTAGCCACGCGAGAACTTAGCTTTGATGACGGTTCATCAATTATGTTTTAGAATGGCTGGCCCAACAATAACGATTTGCTCTATCAAGCGTTTGTCGTTTTAATGTGCCACATCGCATTTTTCTTTTGTTTGAATAAGCCTTGTGTGGAGGCATAACGAGCTTGTTTATCACAAAGCACGTTAACGCTGTGGACCGCATTGTCATATGCAAAGAAACACGAATAACTTTTCGCTATTGCCATTCTTGATATAACTGCAAAAGTCTTAGCGCAACGCGTCAAAACGATTTCGTTATACTCGTGTGAACTGTCATCCGGTCACGAAGCATGTGTTTCTTTCTGCGTGGACGCGCTTAATTACAGCAGCAGTGAACGAAACGATTGCATTGACTACGATTTTCCTGTTTACGTGCTTTATATGCGGCTGCGATGACACTCCAGATACCTGACATATAATGTATCGGGCAGAGCTCTTCTGACTGCGCTTCACGAGGTTTTCACGTCCATTAGAATTCACAGAAAAAGAGTGATCGGGAAACTTGCCGCGTCTGTTTACTGTCTGTACGCATTTCGCGGCCCCGACTTGAGCGTACGAATTGAGCAGCGGACCTGACAGGTACATAACCACATTGTCCCCAGCATGTAGGTAAAGCATGATCGCAAGCGTATTGAGGATGAGCGACGCCGAGATAAGCTTGGTCATTTGAGTGAACTACTTCGGCGCCTTTGTAATACGCGAGGATTGACCATAACGATTCGTGGCTATGTATTCTTACACCACGAATTTGTATATCGTAACCTAGAGCTTCTCGCTGAACTCGGTCTGTCGTTCTTGCATTAGCTAACAAATTAAAACGTACAAACGTGACGTAGACTGCCAAAACGGCGATGACATTCCACAAATGAGCCACATTTCCACCATCGAGTGACCTCATGCTTTGGATGAGGTTCTCAAGGACGTCAACGAGGCTTATATGTTCATTTCAGAGTCCCTATTACAGCCACTGCAACTTCCTCTGTTCCGGCCACCGCTTGTATTCACATGCGGAATTCGTCCCGACGTGCCGTGCTCGGAGGCAGCTTTCGCACCTGCTGCGCCAGTGTTCACGTGACCATAGAGGGTGGTAGCGCGCTTTTGGCTGGAACGGCTGGACGGGGCGTATACGCACCGCGACGTCGCTACAACAAATCTACATATATCGACGGCGGCTGCCGCTGTTTACAAACACGTAATAAATCTATACTCACCATGCATCCATCCCCGATGCGCTGCGGGGCCAGCTTGGCCTTGGATGCCTGCTCGAAGCAGTCCACGTCTGGCCCGTGAGGGGTCATCATGCTGTGCAGGCTTGCGCCGCCGCACTGGAAGCCCGTCTCCTGCGGACGCACACAGAAGGGCTCACCGAAAATCATCATAATTTTTTTTATGTAGCAGGGAAGCATCTACCATGACATTAGGTGTCATTCTTCGAAAAGTGTTGTACACGCTGCACACTTGAAAGTAATTACGTGCACTTTGCTGATGATGTGTCTGTTTCTGATGAAGAACTATGCCCAATGCTTTTGAAACGGGTTGGAGGATTCAACTACCCACTCCTTACGCGATTCGCATTGTCTTACGCATGACGGTTACGTCACTGTTTTAAAGCGCTGTACTACGCATGCTGTCAGATATTCCTTACCTTACACGAAGTCTGAATATGGTCAGTTTGCAACCGAGTTTCAAGCGTTGGTGTAGCTCAATCCGATAAAAAAAAATCGGCGTAGCTCAGTCCCATAGAGTACTAGGCTGCCACCAGAGGGTCCGAGTACTATCTTCATTCCGTCGTCAGTATTTCATTATTTAGTTGTTGTTTTTTCTTATTTCATGCGATAATGGTTACGCATTCGCTGCAAAAAAGTGAATACGCGTACCTTGGCTTCATACTTCCCGGTGATAAGACCCATGAACTCGCTCATGCAGTTTCCTAAAAAAAAGAGAAAACAGAAACGCAAACTGAGCAATGGCGTCTTCGATGTTTCTCGTTAAGAAAAATATCGACGAGGAATTATTAGGCAAAAAAACACTTCCGAGATTTCAATCTGAATGGCGTGACAATATACTTCTAGTGATCAGGGTCAAACATGAAAGAACAATGCAGTATCTTGAAATCAAAAAACGAAGAAAGAAGGATATCAATAATAGAAAAAGTAACTAAAGTATTATTACTAAGGAAAGAAACGGTGAAAAAGTGTACTGTTGTAAAAAGAATACCCGAACTATGCCAGCCTACGGTACCTCATTAGGTCCAATTGGTGCGTGCAATAAAAACGTAGAGGCGCTGTTTTCGAGGAGTTCAGGGGCTGCGCCTCTCTTAGATTAGGAACTATTTTAGCCAAATATTTCACACCGCTCATACCTAAAGGGTCATTAACGCCTTAACAAGATAGTGTGATTGTTTCATTTTTCTTTTCATTTTTTTAGTGCGCGCTTCAGAATGAGAGCTCGCCTAAAACAAGGGAGGTAATTACGCGCTTTCAAGGGTATACCGACGCTAAATTTCGTGTTTCTTTTTTTCTTTCTCTTGTTTTTGTGTTGCGGCAGACAAAAAATTGAGTCCTTGGAACCCATGTTTAAATGTCCATGAACTCACGAACATTGTAATTAACTTACTCGTAATACCATAAGAAGCGCATCGGGAAAGCACGTGGCGGCAGCAAACACAGGACTGCGTTGACTGGCGGAGTTGGGTGCAGTCAGAATGATGATGATTGTTGTCGTGGTTATTAGGATGTTTATGATGATGATGATGATGCAGGACATTGTGCATACCTTCTGCACAAGTTTCGGCTTGATATTTGCTTTGTTTCGCCAATAATTTGTTACTTTTCTTCATTTACTTCCTTCTTTCTTTCTATCTCTTTCTTTTTTCTTATTTCCTACGAAGTTGTTAATAGAACTCCAGACAAAAATTAACATCTGTTCGTGTTTGTAATTGATGCATGGGTAGACGCAATGATCATTTCCTTTACAACGTGCGATAACCTGAGTGCCACCGAGCTCGAAAGGTGAAAAGAACTTTTTTTTTCTTCTAAGTCCGCCTAATTACTCAAATATATCAGTTAAAGCAACCTTACTTTAAAAAAGAAAATACCCATAATTTCCTACCCCTTACCCCCTCGTGCCAAATTACCCTATCTGTCTCGATATTCATTTTTATCCGCTACATCTACTTTTGTGCCACTAACCCCTTAACCTCCTCTGTACTGTATAATTTTATTCATGTAAATGTATGCATTCCTGAAATAAAGTTTGATTTGATTTATTGGTCCGCGGTGACCGATTCGGCGGCAGACGCCGCAAAAATTGGTCCGAGAGCGATCGGCGCGGAGAGGGCCCTTTCGGCGGATCTCGCCGCCGCCGAACCGGATTCGGAGCACTTTCGGCGGCCGGAATGCTAAGTGTGAACGCGGCCTTAGGCTACATTTTTGAAATCAAGCCCATCTGTCACGTCAATTCAAGGAGTTTAATCATAACGAGATTCACATGCACCGACCTACCATTCTCCAAGAAGATCGATAAAATGGTTACGGTAGAATGTACTGCAGTGACCGGTGTTTGGTAGTAAAGGCATCGCCAACGTTGCGATCACGCGAGTACTTGTCATTCATGCTGCGATACAATTATTGCGCAAGGTGTTTGAAAGCTTCGCTGACGAGTCATGCGAGCAAGAGTTAACGCAACTCGTTCTTATTTTTTTCTTCGTCATATCTGCAATTTTAACATGCGATTGCCGAGCGCACGTTGTACTGACGGTGCAAAAAAAGCGATCTATTGAAAACGAGTTACTACGATCCATGGCAGTTTAAGTTCAGACAATTTCTTCGCTCTCGTGTATTTACACAGAATCATTCCGTTGTACGCGTTGGCAAATGGACGAGTTGATTAAGCCACTACTGCGTTTCCGATATTTATTCGTTAATTTATTTAAAATACGTTACAGGCCGAACAGGGCATTGCGTAAAATGAGTATAAAAATGTCATGCACATGGGCATACATTGCTTGAATATAAACAATAAAAATTATCGATTATTATAACATGTAAAATAGTTGTAAACATAAAGAAAATACAACGGGAGCTAAATACCGAGAACATGCTAAATATGAACTGTGCGACAGGCTGCCAATATTAAACAAAAGCTTTTAAAATGGTAGTGTTTATATATTTCATGAAAAGCAAACGCTGCTCGAGATCGCGCATAAGCTATGAAGTGCAGGTTAGTATTCAAATGCAACAAAAGTAAGAAAGTGTGCAACACAGAACAACTTATTGTTAAAAACGTGAGTAACAAACTAAATTTCCGTTAAGTAAGCAGCTAAGTACAGAACTGCGTGTTGAGATGGTTTCGGAATTTATCTTTATTGCGCTCACCTACTACGTCATCTGGAACGGAAGATGAGTTATTTAAGGCGTCGGTTTTGCCGTAGACGAGTGTGGACGAAAGATGATTCTGTAATCTTAAACGGACCCCTGTATCTGCCCTTCAATGGGCACTGGGGTCCTACCTGTATATTAATAACAAACTGTGTATTTTACACGCACTAAACTGAAGATGATTGATCATAACAAAGGTCTCTCTCTCTCGCACACACACACACACACACACACACATGTATATATATATATATATATATACATATATATATATATATATATATATATATATATATAATGAACAGCAAATGGCTGAATACTCACGGTGATAGTATGGGGGTCTGAAGGTGTTCTCGGCTACCGACCAACGCGGCGGGAAGATGACGAAGTCGGCGATGGCCGTACCCGGCTTGGTCGATGGGCAAGTGAGCACCGTGAAGATCGAGGGGTCCTGCGTTGTTGTTGACCAGGGCATGGCACTCGCTGACCAATACGCAGCCAAATGAATACGTAAATGACAAACGCTTTTAAAATTGCGTTTCCCATCTCTGGTTGGTTGCTCCAACTGACCAGCGGTTTTCTTCCCCGCTCTCTACAATTTAAGAAAAAATGGAGTATTCGGGGAGCAGTTCTGCTACACAACAATAATTGTCATCTGCCTGCCGGCGCTGGCCTATTGCTTGTCGGGAATGCTATGTCACACTGATGATGCACACACCGACCGCGAACTACCAGAACCATGGTGATGGCGTGAGAAAAGTATATATATATATATATATATATATATATATATATATATATATATTCCCACGCTGTGTTGGTGGCAGAAGACGAGAGCGAAGAAGTGAATGGCACGACTTTCTACGACTCTTCAACAGCACATTGAGCGGCTTTAGGCGGTTCTTCTGGCTATTCGCACTGCTGGTCTCTCTCTGAAACCGGAAAAGTGTTATTTTGGGTATGAGGAACTGAAATTCCTTGGCCACATTATCAGCAGCAGTGGTGTTCGCCCCGATCCTGACAAGGCTATGGCAGTTGCCTTGTTCCCGATACCGAAAACAAAGCATGATGTACGCCGCTTTCTGGGACTTTGTGCTTATTACCGCCGCTTCGTGCCGAGCTTTTCGAAAATCACCGACCCTCTACAACAACTCGTCAAGGATGACGTCGCCTTCGTCTGGGGCCCCAAACAATCCGGCGCTTTCCGCGATCTTCAACAACACCTACAAACGCCACCGATCCTAGGTCACTTCGACACCGAAGCAGACACAGAAGTCCGCACTGACGTGAGCAACCTTGACCTCGGAGCTATTCTCGTGCAATATCAAGATGGCGTGGAACGCGTCATCGCCTACGCTAGCCGCACGTTGTCATCTGCGGAGAACTACTCGACGACTGAAAAAGAATGTCTGGCGGTTGTATGGGTCATAACTAAATTCAGGCCCTACTTGTACGGACGCCCCTTCCGATTCATCAGTGACCACCACTCTCTCTGCTGGTTAGCGAATCTGAAAGATCCTTCGGGCCGTCTCGCGAGATGGAGCCTTCGGTTACAAGAATTCGATATAACGATGGTTTACAAGTCTGGTCAGAAACACACCGACGCTGACTGTCTTTCCCGCGCACCCGTCGAGGTCACTGAAGAAGACAATCATGAAGACTTCAGCTGCCTTGCCATTCTCGCATCATTAAACAAGGCTGAGCAGCAACGCGAAGACTTAGAATTACAACCACTGATCGAATACTTTGAGGGGCGTCGCCCACAACCCCCACGTCAGTTCGTGCGTGATTTGTCATCCTCTACAAGCACAACTTTCATTCAACGAAAACTGTTTACCTCCTCGTCGTTCCTGCTGCTCTCCACGATGATATTTTGCGTGCTTGTCACGACGAGCCATCGTCAGGGCATCTTGGCTTCGCGCGTACTCTGGCGCGGATCAAAGACAAATACTACTGGCGGAAACTTACGAAAACCATCCGGCAGTACGTCAAGACATGCACAGCCTGTCAGCGCAGAAAAACTCCAACGACGAAACCAGCCGGTCTGCTTCAGCCTTTGCGACCCCCTCACGAACCTTTGGAAAAGGTCGGGATGGATTTACTCGGCCCATTTCCGAAGTCTACGGCTGGTAACCGCTGGATTGTGGTTGCCACCGACTACTTGACCAGATACTGCGAAACACAAGCCGCCCAGCGAGCAACTGCTTCCGAGGTGGCTGACTTTTTCATCAAGAACATCGTTCTCCGCCACGGTGCTCCCGCTGTCGTTATCACAGATCGTGGTACTGCTTTTACGGCACAGTTGCTCCGACAGATCCTGTTGCTGAGCGGCACGACGCACCGAACAGCAACTGCGTACCACCCGCAGACTAACGGGTTAACCGAACGCCTTAACAAAACGATTGCAGATATACTTTCGATGTATGTCGCCAAGGATCAGAAGGATTGGGATGAAATCCTCCCGTATATAACATTTGCCTACAATACGGCTTTGCAGGAAACCACCGGCTTTGCTCCTTTTCGTCTGGTTTACGGCCGCGACGTCACCACAATGCTTGACACCATGCTGCAACCAACTCTGCCGGACACGATCACCCCTGACGCAGATGTATTTGTTCAGCGTGCCGAAGACGCCCGGCAGCTGGCGCGCTTTCGCATTTTATCGCGGCAAAATCAAGATGCTCGCCGATACAACACCCACCACAGAGCAGTAATATACGAACCCGGTGACCTAGTCTGGGTTTGGACTCCTATACGTCAACGGGGACGCTCAGAAAAATTGTTATGTCGGTACTTCGGACCCTACCGAGTTCATCGCCTCGGCGAAGTGAACTACGAAGTTGTCCCAGCAGACACGTCACACCGTTCTCGCAGACCACGCTCCTCGGATGTGGTTCACGTATTCATGATGAAATCGCACTATTCGCGTTGACTGCAAGTCAAGAACTTTGTGATGTGGTAATAGCCTTCAAGACAATTGTGCATTACTTTCTTGCTTCTTTAATTTTCATCTCGTCCTTTTCTTTTCAAAGGACACAGACATTTATTACTACCTTTCGTTGTTTTTCAGAGCCGTGGTATTCATGCGATGCTTCTTCTTCTTTTTTTTTCTTTGGGGAGAGGGTAATGCCACGCTGTGTTGGTGGCAGAAGACGAGAGCGAAGAAGTTAATGGCAGCTGTGGCTGAGTAAACAGTCCTCCACTTCGAGTTCCTGCCTATACTCTCGCGACAATATATATATATATATATATATATATATATATATATATATATATATATATATATATATATATATATATATATATATATATATATATATATATATATATATATATATATATATGTATATAACGAGAGCAAGCTATCTCCTATCGGTAATTTAACTACTTTTGCACATACAAAAAGTCTGTACGTACTTTTTCCCGTATTCTAAAGAGTGGTTATTGAGCTCACGCTCTTGTTGTATAGCCAAAATACTGAGAATTCTGTTTGTCTTCAGCATACTGTGCTCATTTTTATCCCGACATTCGCAATTTATCAGTTTAAGCATTCCATCATGTTTCGCACTTCATCACCATCACTGCTAGCGAGCAAAAATGTACGCAGATGTATCTGATGCGGAAGTATAATGACGAACGCAATAGCCAAAGGTCAGAGGTAAAGAAATTTTTCAGTTTAAATTTCACCACTTTGACTCACGCAGTGGTCGTAGGAGACGGTGTTGACGGTGTTGAACTTGGACAGGTCATACTTGTAGGGGACATAGTTGCCATGCCACGCGACCACGTCGAATGGAGAGTGGTTCTGCATTCCAATTGAAAAAAAAGATAACTAAAAAGCTGCATAATTGCAAAACATCTTTGTCATTTCAGAAAAACTGATCATGCTGTACCTGTTTACCTTCAACGGCCTCTGAGACTCGCTAACATAAAAATCTATGAGTTTTACTGGCATTCTGTCCCATAGCTCTCAATCATCTATCTCTCGACTTTCAAGGTCCGCTGGCCGAATTTGTTTTTCAATCACTTGTTACAGTGCTTGAGGCAGCGACACATCCTAAACTCGTATCAAAGCTAAAGCCATGGAGAGAAAACGACGAGAACAGCGTCGTTGCTGACCTGTTATCTCAGCCTCACTAGTCAATAATTTTTTTGTCTTCTACCAACTATCCAATACTCACCGTTTATCACGCAAGTAGCCAAGTTGGTACGTTATTATACTTGGTTGAGCAAACAACGTGAGGATGTGCCACAAATACAAGGCCTTACCGTACTCTACCCTTCGTCCCTCGTCTATGCCACGCTGCACATTCAACCGACCTGACAGTTCGCCAAGTTTCTCGTGTAGCTGAAGGCACGTCGAATTGTAACCTGTGTCATTACGTGAACTTTAGTAGCCATGCTGTCAACACTGACCTGAGAAGCCTGGAACAGGCAACCTTGGTACTTGCTGACGACCAAAAAGCCGTTCACGTCCCGGTCCTCATACCAAGCTGTTGGGGTCTTGAAATCGCGAGGGTTTGCCAGGCCGTTGGCTCCTGCATAGCGCAGGGTAAATTACACATTTTAATTAATTTTGTTTCGTGACAATTGCAGAAGACGGCCAGTTCAGTACTACACACATCCCTGCTTCGCTATGCTGCGGTCGTATAGACATCCGCCATGAGAACTCTATTTGACTATGCAAATTGTACCTGACGTGCCGTTTTAACACGTTCAGCGAAGGATATGAGACATGATAGCTACATATATAACAGTGGCATAAGAAATTAGGAACATGAAATGAGACTGTGACTTAACAACAAGCTATAAAATATACTCTGGAAATAATTTTCGCCACGGGTCTCTTTTATACCGCTCGATCTCTGACAAACACTTCATGTAAATTTTATGTTGACGTGAATGCAATTGGATAGAAAGTTGGGCTAGCTGGCAAGAATGCATCCTTGAAGCAGCGCTAAAAGACGCAGACCAGGAGCAACTAACACACAGGATGAGCGCTGGTTGGGCAACTCATTTTTTAGATGAATTCGCAACGTGTTATGTAGTTGTAGCGAGGGCACTGATCTCGGCATGGCCTTCAATACCAGAGGGCGCAAAATTGATTCGTAGAAGCTCAGAAAACGCATGGCAAAAACATTTAGGGCGGGTAAGATTTTCTATATTCCACCTGGTTTATATCTCTTTGAAGAAAGCTGTGCGCCCGGAAACGAGCAAACCTTCACTTTGCGATACCGTTAGAACATTATTGCGAAAAAGGACTGCCCTACCAGCGCTATCCCATCGTGCAAAAGCCAGCAAGGTCCCTCGAGCCACACATGGCTACAAATATTGTGCCCAAATGCCAATGTCCCTGTTTTCTATATAGCAGCATTGAGATTGTTATTCATGCAAAAAGTGTAGCAACGGCTCCGTGGGACTCAAGTTTGGAAGCACCAAGTTTTCACTCGTGACGCCAAGCGCCGAAATTTTCGCGGGGTGAAAAAGCGGTAATAACAGGGTCGCACTTGATAGCCAACTGGTGTCTGAGCATCACAGTTCCTAAAAAGAGCTGCCTCGATGATGATGACTATAGGCTCTGGCATTTCGCAATTATGCGATCACGTATCATTTGATTCGAATATGGACCCGAATACTCGGATGTCCGCGGCATCGCCACATGCATATGCATTTTCGTGGGAAGACGTCAATTCTGCCGCCTTTCCGGAAGTCGCGAAAAACAATAGGATCTCTCCGTCATGCATGGAGAGTCATAGGTCAGCGAACTCATTCATAAGTCGACTTACTCGGACTCACTCAGACTCAGACAAAGCCGCAAGAGCGGCATCCACCAATCGTAACGTTTTTCGACTATGCTCAAAAAGTGTTATCCCTACTTTTTACGAGAACGAGGCAGAGAAAAGCATGACGGGACAGACGCTTTTTCTTTATGCGGCACCCGTCCTGTCATGATCAGCTCTGTCTATAGACGTCGGCTTTTATTGTCTTATACTCGCGTCGTCCGTTCGTCGGTGCACTGGAACGGTGCAAGCTGTGGCTTCTCCCCCTTACGCTCTCTCCGCAATCATGCGATTGTTGAGAGTGTGTAAAAAAATGAAAAAACAAAAAAACAGTTAAATAACCGCACACTATCGCTGAACTCATAGGAATATACAATACAAAGTGTGCCTCAATTTTTCCAAAGGAAAGCAATGTATCCACGCCACCTTCCCCCCCCCCCCCCCGACTCTTGCTTTCCTAGGCACTTTTTTTTCCTACGGCAAAGTAAGAGGGAAGGGGGTGCTCGAGTACAAAAAAAAAAAGACGCAGAAAAGGAAACAAGGAAAAAACTAGAAAATACACGAGCAAAAAAAAGAAAACAAGAGGGGCGGTTGGTCGAGTACGAAAGAAAACAAGCTCAAAAATTGATTTAAAAACATGGCTGATCCCTTTTATAAGGAACTGGAATAACACTAAAGTGAAACGATTCCTCGCAGAAGTAGCTCAGCATTCATTGTGTATTGTTTCACCACAATGACGAACGAATGAGTGCTAAAGAAGAAAATGGCAATTTAATGCGAAGAGCGGCAAGCCGCTCAAAACTTACAGTGCACATCTCATGCAGAAATCAGCCACGAAATGAGCACAAGCAGCACGAGCGCGGACAAACAAATATCTCAGCTCACCAGTTAAAGCACGTCGTTCAAACGTAAAGACGCACGAAACAAACGCAAAAGTATAGGACGAGCACGAACAAATGTCACACTATTTACTTCATCGTTGTATGTGAGCAGCATGCTCCTTGTCTGAACGTGACCACAACAGCGAGCGAAGTGACCTTCGTGCTGTCCTGAATCAGGAGTCTGATCTGATACGCGCGAGCAGGAGAGACCGTTCCCGTGGAGGCACGCGCTCGAAAAGACGCGAGAGTTGCCAACGTTAGAGTGCCTCGATGCGCGCATAAAGGTACCCAAACCAAGGTGCTTGATTGGGCTTGTTGGTGCTGCATGGTAGACGAAGAAAGTGCTTAACAGCGCAAACGACAGGAGGGGATAGAAGAGACGAGAACAGGGCGCTGATGTCCTCGCTCTGTTCTCGTTTCTTCTATCACCTCCTGTCGTTTGCGCTGTTAAGCACTTTCTTCGTCTACTACCCTAACCAACGTGAGCCCGTTGCGCCATCTCGCTACTGATGACGAAAACGCCGTGAACTTGAGGAGCTCTGAGGACTGTCAACGGTATATGGTGTATATAAATGGTTTGCCGTTAGCATGCTTGTGAACGTACGCTTCGCGGCTTCAGTAGAGCAGCGAGAGTTCCTCATTGAAGCCACGAAGCATTCGTTGTCAAGCATGCTAACGCAACTTCGTTACTTGTCGAGTGTGTCCTCACTAACACCAGAGCGCTTATCGTCGCTGTGTGAATATACTTATGTACTATACTATTAGCTCCATTTTATGTTCATTCCAACACACAGCGCGTCCCGCGCTGGAAAGTGAGAGGTCACTGGTCCGACGCCCTGCTACGGAACTTCTCCATCTGGCTTTTTTTTCTTTGCAATCTCTTATTTTACTACGTCATGCGTCATATATGTGACAGAAATACGTCAGCGGAGCCATCGTGGACCGCTGCATAAAACACTTTCATGTCAAATGAAAACGACGTGGTGACGTCATTCTCGCAACGGGCAGCCCTCGGTTGCCAACTTTACGAAGGTAGCCGCGTGAGAGGTAAGCAGTTATTGAAATGCAACAAAATTCCCACAGTCAGCCGCCATTAGGCAATTATTATGCATGGTCATCAAGGAAAAGAAACCTGAGCTTCAAAGAATGAGCGTGTAAATCCGACTAACAGAAAGGGGGTAACATGGCGCTTTCGTAGATAACCTCCGTGGGAGCGTATCAGCTCCCCTCTTCTGCCACTCAGCTGGCTCCCCGGTGCGCTCTGCTATGGCAGTGCCCTTGTAAAGGGGCCCTCCAACACTTTTCTATGTAGCCCTGGAATGGATTCACTAAATGAGCTTATTTACTCACGAATTAACCACTGCAAAAATTCACACAACCCTTCCAGTACACGCGGAGTTACAAAGATTTGTCGCACGCTGCTATTGCTTTCTCTCTTTTTCTCGTCCCGGCCAAAGCGCTAGACTCTAAGCAGGGAGGGATGGCACAGAGAAGAAGATCCGTCATGCGCACCTCGTGATTTTGAGCATGTTTTCTTATTATTTTTCCTTTGAATGCGCAGCCTTTCAGGGCGATGGCGCGCACGCGTGGACAAGTTGCGGCCTCTTGCGGCGGCCCCAGTAACGACCGAGCGCGCCATGCTCAAATCAACCAATGGCTGATACTTCACTTGCGACGCCGTAATTTTTGAGCATGTAGCGCCTTTGTAGAGAAAAGGGAAATCAATGTTTTTGTTAGTTTTGAGAATTTATTGCAAATTCCGGACCTCGTGCTGCACTACAGTATTTGGCTCGCGTGGTCTCGGGAGCCTCGACTACATAAGGCAGCGTTTTCTGTCTATGCTCAGAAAGTGCTGCAAGGCCCCTTTAAGTTCCTTCAGGCTTGTCAGCACTATAGTGTGAAGTTGCCTTAATTTTTTATATACCGTAACATGGAAGAAACCATACGAGAATGCGCTCACCGATAGGACCAAGGTTTGGCAGCACGAAGTGGTTGTCGAAGACCTCGAGAACGTAGCCACGGCTGGGACCGGATACGTACACTTGGAAACGCATTCCTTGCTGTAAGAGAAAGAATAACCAGTGCCATCGCTGTCAGGACGCGACATCAACGTCTTTCGATTTCGTTTCTGTTACGAATATCATACTTCACTCGCGCCGTCTCGTTATTTTGCCTAATATGACAACCCAGGATAGTGCGCTGTAACATCCGGGCCAGAATATGTAAGGTCGTGAAGTAACGTGCCTCTTTCAAGGGTACCGACTACGAAAGTGAACGTCATGGTGGCAGTTCGCTTGTGAAATACACAAAGGGTTTCTTGTAGCGAGAGCTACAGTGGCCCTGTTCTCTCCGTTTCGCTGTGGCCGGTGGCCGCTCAGCGAGCTGAGCCGTTGCATAGCGACCACCGTAGCTGGTAGCACACGTCGCCGCGACATCTGGCGTGGCGACAGAGGAAAAGCCGCCATTTCATCGCATAAATATAGAAAGGGCGGCTCACTGGCATTCGTCAGCACATATGGAAGCTGAGCCGGGGAGGTTGAAAGAAGCCAAGATTCGTCGTTAAACCTCGGTGTTACCAGATCTTATCGAGCAAACAAGCTAATACTCATCACAGGAGAAGCTCAAAAGAAGCGGAAGCATAATCAACTTTCTCGTTCTTTAACTTATAAATAATTACAATAAAAATGTGTCACTCAAATACGAAGAAGAGATTAAAAATTATGCACGAAAATGAATGAAAGCAAATAGGTGCCTTTTAATAGTGTCTCCACGGTAGTTTCCATTTGGTTCGTTTGACAGTGCATGATACAGGTTACTTTCTCATTCCCCCAACGTATCTTTTTCTTCAACACTTAACTGCCTCAAGGCCGCCGACAAATAGGCTATTGGGGAACGACTAACGCGCACAGGTGAGCGCGCCATGATCACGAAAATATATTTGCGGGGAAAATGCTTATTTGCAGCCCAAAACGCGGCTAGCGACCGGAAAATTACACAAGAGAATCAGTGAAAGAAAGAAGCAGTCCAAATTCACTTATTGTAAGTGGAACTGACAACTCTGCTAGAACTAAAAGCAAGAGGATGCAGCGAGCCGAGGAGGCGGAAGTAGAACGAGCTACACGCCTCGAGAAACGTGAAGTCGTGCTAAGTAATATAATTAACAGTACTTTTCCGTACGCATAACTGAATTAAGCCAATGCCAAATTGAATTCCTGTGTCACGGGTGCCCACCGAGACTCCTCCTTCTCTGCCATGCTCTCGCGCTCGAACACTTACTTCTAGTTTTCGAAATATTCGCAATCTTCTAACTAAATAAAACCGGTACAATTTCGATAGTTCTGGCCGAAGTTAAAAGCTTCATTGCATAAATGTATTATGGGTGCACAGCTTTATTTAAATAAAAGCTGATTCGCTTAATCACAACGACACTTTTAATTATTGTTATTTCATTAGCCTAAGCAGACCAAGTGTTTCTATGCTATATTGTGTTCTGATGCAGGAGTTAACTACCACGGATAGCAAAGAGAGGGCAAAAAAATTCTGCGTTTATCTGAGTGCCCTTTTCGAGAGTATACTTGAGCACAAAACAACTACGTTTGTTCGGATTACTACCTTAAATCTGGTTGTAATAGATGCAAGCGTAGTTTACGAGGTTGCTGCCACTGGTAGAGGTGCACGCTTTCCTACAGATGATTGGTAGCTTTTAAAATGCCCTTTCAATGTTGAAAGTGTCCTTTTAAAAAATCTAAGTTTAACGAATACATTAGAATCGACAAAAGTTTCGATGGTGAGTGCTGATGTGGTTTTTTTCGGATTTATCAGAAAACACGGTGCTCTAGTGGTGACGCAACAATTTAGCCTTAAGCTCAACAACCACGAAGTGCCACCATATCCTCTGAATCTTTGTTATCCCTCACCTGAATGACGCAGATCTCGTTGGGTTCCACGTGCATCCTGCCGAACTCGGTGACGACGTTCAGGCTACCTTGCTGGGGAACTGAAAGGGGCAAAGAACAAGCAGTGGTATAAATACTCGCACCCTGTCCTCAGTGCATGACTTCACAATTTTCTTCAAGTTAACATCGAGAACTATCTTTAAAGGGAAGTGGTACAAGGTTGATAGACTTGCCTATTAGGAAATCTCCATCGGAGTTGTACATGGCCCTGAATAGAAAGAAGCAGCGAGAAAAATCGCTTTAAAACATGCAGTTTTTTCACAAGACTTCTTTTTAGTAGAGTTCAAAGAGGCTTAGCTAGATGTAATAAGAATATCCGGGATTTTACATCTTAAAACCAGCTGTATGATTGTGACGGATGTCATAGTTGATGGCAACAAAACTTTGAACCATCCCGTGTTCTTTTACGTGCGCTGATATCGCAGGGTACACGGGCGTCTATATTTACGCCTCTACCTAAATGCGACTACTGTGGCCACGGGATCAAACGCGAGACGTTCGGGTCAGCAGCTGAGCCCTATAATTACTGATCTAACGTGGCAGATGTTAAGCAACATGTAGCTTGCTTATGGTGCTCATTTAGGCTTCCTGGTCAATGAACCACTGAATTTGTTTTCTATTGAAATATATCATACCTTATGGTCATATAAAAACTAACATTTCCATAAAAAAATACCCCACTTCCCCGAAGAAAATTCGTGAGGAAACGAGAAAGCTTTTTCTTGTGCCGAGAGAGGGTACCGTTGCCGTTCAACATTCGCCTTCACCGACTTCCACTATCGCCTTGAGAAGCGCCCAGCCAGCGAACGGCGGAGAGTGAGGAGCTGGCGAATGGCAGAGTAAACTGCCAGCGTTCTCGGCTCGGCATTTCACAGCGGCGTCTGGAGCACAGATTTCCGGATGTTATTGGGAGGCGCCCAGCCAGCGAACGGTCGAGAGTGATGCGCGAGCGGACGGGCGAGTGGTGCGCAGGGATGAGAGAGAGCAAACGGTGAGAGAAGGAGCGGCGAAGCACTGCACCACGGTGTAAGATTATTCTTACACCATGCACTGCATCTGCCCTCTTTTACTCTCTCTCTCGCGCCACATGCTCCGGTTTCTAGGGAGGACGATAAGCGCGTGCACCCACAGCTGTTGCTATGGAAGAGTGAGTGAGAGCGAAGAGATAACGCCTGCCGGCACGCAGACGCCGCGGACAACGCCCGATGCCTGACAATATAGCCCGACTAAGAAATGCATTCGTATTTAAAATGCAGTCAATCTCGCAATGATTCGGCACCTACTTGTCCTTCATTGAGACATTACAGCAGTACACATGAATGGCGACTCCGTGGCGTGTCCTGGCGTCACCCGCTCCACAAACAGTGTTGAGACCCTGGGAAAAAGAGCCGATTAAACGGTGAACAGTAAATCGTCGTTTTCCGTTTGGAAGGAGAAAAAAAACACTTTGCAGGAGAGTGAAAAAAGGAAACAAAACAAAAACGGCACAGTGAACACACATGACACATTACTCTTCACTGCCCTATTAGTTTTTTTCCGCTGTTCAGCCATAATGTTCATTAACCTAGTTGCCTACTTAAGAACCTCTGAACAAAATAAATGTTAATAATTTGAACGTCTGCGCTAACCATTTCTACAGGTGTTTCTTCCGAGGAAACCTGTTGAAATACTAGGCATCACATGCTTCCTTTTTTTCCTTTTCTTATAGTATAATATTAATGCGTCGTTATTATTATTGATGCATTAATTATGGTATTAAACGTGTGCACATATAAAACGAACACTCGCAAGCAGGTTAAACTGTTCTAGTTGGTACGATTCCACCGTGAACACCAGATAAATGTTCTCCTCTCTTCGTATACATATTTACGGTCTGGTACTAAGACCGCCGCACATATTCTTAGTCACTGTACGCTTCCAAAGCAGCGTGTGAGGCCCCAGGGACGACTTCTAGGTCTCCCATAATAGAGAACCGAGTACTCTAAATCACAAAAGGAACCCTGAAACGGTTTTGATGATTTTTTGCAAACACATTGGGCCGGTAGACCAAGTTTCAAGGGTAATTTAAAGACTGGTTTGAGCTCTCTGCGTAAACTGTGTAGTTTGGTACAACGCTTTAAAGTTGCGAATCACTCCAGATCACTGCAGATCGCTGCGGCTCAGCCAAACGCGTTCTCAACGGCCCATAAACCAAGCGACACGCTCTGCCCCACTGAAGTCATCGTTTCCAGCTGATCTGATCTGACACACGGCCGGTATCAGATCTGCAGCGGGATTTACGCGCATGCGGTCTCACACCACGTCGTGACGCCGGCGCCGTGAAGGCGGAGCTTAGCCCCGAGCGCTTGAAGGAAGAGTTGAGGGCAGTTAAGGGTGAAAGGCGGAGCGGAGGAGGACGGTATGTTTTAGTACTCGTAGCTCTGTTAATAATATTCGATTGAACTCTGGTGCCAATGATTTGCTCCAGTAGTGGTCTAATCAAAAACGGAATGTGAAAAAATCATTTCAGGGACCTTCTAACAACTTTTTTGGAGCGAAGCTCCCTATGCCGTGAGTCGTGCGTCCGCGGTGTATGTATTCCTAGTCGTAGTAGTAGGTAGACAGACTAGAGGAGCGGCACGCGCGCACCCATTTCAAGTGAGGAGGAAACCCGCGCAAGTTAATTTTAAGTAAAAAGATAGTTGTTTCTGATGGAATAACTTACAGAGACGAGTATTGGTGACTTAATCTCTAATAAATTTGCCTTGAGTTTGATGCTTACTAAAAAAAAAACTTGTAACAGAAGGACGCACTTTGAGCACTATCTGAACAAAAAGTGTTGCCACGTTCGATTCGCTGAGCGTAAACTACCTAGTTTTAGCAAGGTTTAGCGAGGGTTAGGTCGCAGTGCCATGAATATAGTGAACTAGTACTTAGACATGAACTAGAAGCGGTGAAAAGTGGGAAATAGACACGAAGCGCAGGTCGTGAGAAGGTGCCCGAGTGCCGACTCTTGTTTAGTCCTTGAAATGTCCGCTGGATGGCGGTACTTTTATATGCTGAAAATATATGATGAAAAGATGCGAGATGGCGGTACTTGGAGTGTTCACTAGATGGACGAACGGACAGACAGATGCACGGACGGACGGACGCTTCACCCCGCTCATCATCATGAACTCCATGGTTATGATGTGATTTTTTTAAACACAGCTCGTTCTTTTGGCCTGGCGGTACAGAATTATATCGCACCCCTCGGTAGCGCACTGTATTGCGAGGTTAAAATAACGACTTACGTCTGTGCAAACATTCGCACGTTACCACCTAAGTCCATCTCTACGTGCCTTAGTGCCCAATGGTCCTATCAACTGTGGCCCACAGTCCTCCCATTTACCGACTGTGTAGCATGCCTTGCTGGCCTCCCATCACTGTCTACAGACTGCATGCCCCGGAATTGATGTAGCTGAAGCGAAAGTGGTGGACATGATGGCCGCACTTGTGAAGCTTTTGGTAACCCGACACCTCCATGCGGTCATGAGAGCCCAAGGCCGCAGCGGCGTTGCCAGGTCATCTTCGTCACTTCGTTTGGCGATGGGGCTGGGGCTTGTTCCCCACTCACAATCGGCTACAAAAACTTTCTTGGGATACAACGATTACAGGTGGTACGCGAGTCCACTCGCCCTAACTGCATCATGATTGAGTCCGACCGGCATGGGACGATACCATGTGTGGTCACCCGCCTTTTTGGCATGTGGTCCATGCTGGTTTTCGTGGCCAACTTCTCCGAGAGTTCATGTCCAGTGACCGGTTCCGGCGGGGGCGTTTCGCGGCACTCTTAGTAGTTGCCAGCCTGTTCAGCCTTTGGCGTAACTGTCGTGAAGCCGTCACTGGAAATGGCCATTCACGTGCCTTATGACCAATATTGGGGCACATGAGGCATGAGGTGTTCGCATTCCTGCTCTTCTTCCTGGGAGAGCTCGAGTTTCTACGCCATTGGTCATATTTCCTTTTGTCAATGTTGAGCATGAACGGGTGCCACTTATTTTTCGGCCGAATTCTACGAAGCCGTACTACCGGGTCAGGGTTGATGAGCTTGTCACCTTGCCCTTTGGAACTGTGTTCGCCACCTTGATATCTCATGCCCTGGTGAGTCTACCACCAAGTTCATGTATACTAAGGAAAATATGTGCACCTACACCATTCACTCATTTGAAGGACTCCTTATAGCGTCAGTTCTGAGTTATATGCATTTGTTATTCTGATGATCTGATTTTGCTGTTTCCTGTATGTGAAAATGTCAGTTTTGTGTTGTGTTGATGTGATGTGCAATTGAGAAAATGTGATTGTATTCTTGAGTACTGATTCGTCACACATAATCTATGCTCTGTACATAGTGTAAATACGTTCTTTCTAAACACCATATGCCATTCGTTGAGCCCCACAGGACGGTTTTATGCTCTCCCATAGTAGAGTAACCCGTACCCCAAATTATTAAAAATCTTTTTTAAACACGTCTTTTTTTCACTCAGACACAGATTTCTGCCCTCCCATAGTAGAGTACAAGGTGTTTTGAATTGTCAAACTTTTTCCCTAAACACTACGTTTTTTAGCAGCAGTGTGAACTTCTTCGCACAGTGATTTTTGTGAACATTGCCTCAGTGTACTCTCGTTGCTCAACTTACGTCAACAAAGTCAACGGATGCCTTGCCCTGCTCCGGAATGCTGAAGGGCTTCCACCGCAGCTGTAACAAAACAATAACGCAATCAGCGTTACAGAACTCTTGCGAAAAGCAGAGACGCTCCAGGGCATCTTTCAAAAGAGTTGACTGTTGGGCGAGTCGGCGCTTTCAGATAGAAACCTCGTGAGGCCACAACTATACACAACACACAGAAAGAGACAGACGAGGATGGGCGCAAACCATTAACTGGCTCTATTGAAAAAATAGAAACACCTCTACGTATCAACATCCAACGAAGGGGCACCGCCACAACAATCACAAAAAATTAAACCGGACGAGAAAGAAATTGGAATTCGACATTGTACAACGCAATCGAGGTTTCACTTAAACACTTCTGTCTGGCTTAAATTTCCGTGGTTGTTGTGGCGGTGCCCCTGTGTAGGATGTTAATATAAAAAGGTGTTTATCTTTTTTAGGTGTGAAGATTCCGAAGGTGTGGGTCTGTCCATCGCTTGTATGTATGTAGTAGTACGTAGCCACCGGTGGCACATGCCCGCTCTATGTGCCACAGGGGATGCGAGATGGGAGACGGCGGTACTTGGAGTGTTCACTAGAAAGACGCACGGACGGATGGACAGACAGGCTAGCGGACAGACAGACGGATGAATAGACACGCGGACGTACGGACAGATGGACGCATGAACAGACAGACAGGTGGATGTGCGGACAGACGCATGGATGGACGCACGGATGTTCGCGCGAACGGACAGAAACACAGACGGGTTGACAGACGACTTGTAATTGGTGATGCTTTTAGTGATAAGTTTAAAACTAGATGGCAGTTCTTGTAATTGATGATGCTTGTAGTTGATAAATATAAAACTAGTTGGCGGTACTTGTAGTTGATGACGAAAGATGCGAAATGTTATAATATGAATGATGTCACATATGGCGCATGCCATTGGTTGAAGGCAATAGTTCGGCGATGCATGCTAGGGGGAGCGTTGTAATAAAATTCGCTCACTCTTGCCGCGCGCTCGGAGTCGTCGGATGGTGGTGGTGGTAGCGGTTAGAAGAGGAAGAAGGCGCCTAATTTCTGCAGCCCGGTAGGGAGCACGAACTAAATACGGTAGATTCACGGTTTACCGATGATTCCCTCCGGAGCTTCGCCCACTCGTCGTCATTCACCCCGTGGATATGCTGTGATTTTTTTTTTAATATAGCCAGTTGGTAGTTTGCGCCCTTCCTCGTCTGTCTCTTTCTGGGTTTTGTGTATAGTTGCACCCTCATGATGTTTAAAAGTATTGAAGAAGCATGGTGGTAGTAGTAGTAGTAGTAGTAGTAGTAGTAGTAGTAGTAGTAGTAGTTGTAGTGATAGACGAGTCGTAGTGCTACTGCTCCTATATCATAGTGTGAGAGCAGTAAATAAGTTTCCCGTCTTCCTCATCTCTATAGTGTATAATAATCAGTGGCCTGATAGACAGTGCTCAATGTGAACATTATGATAAAAAAGAATGATCAGTAACGTTCTCGCCTACATCACTATTATCTAAAGAAAAACTACTTGTAAACCATGCAAACATGCGCCGAAGATGTGAATACGCACGCATTCAGCGAACAATATTAGTATGCTCGTAGTGCAGTCATGGGACCTGAAAACGCACCTGGTTAGGATTCGGGTGGTTGGAATTCCAGTCGGAGGTGAGGTTCTTGTTGCCATTGTACTTTGTAAACGGCGTGTGCTGTACCGACGGTCTGATGCGGTACAGCCAGCTGCAAGTATAGGTGATTAGCATTAGAGGTATGGAACTTTCACACGGTGGCCCTCATATCACCCTAGATTTTTACATAGATTTCGTTCAACGCATTTCCAGTTGTACCCATTATCTCAATGGTATCTGAATTTTACAAACGATCAGCAAAACACGTGACACCTAAGTACTTGCAAACGTTTACTGTGGCCTATACCTCCTTGCTAATGCTGCAGTATACTTACAAATAATTGGTCTTATAAACAGATATGACCTAACTGCATAAAATGCGCATAAATCCACAGCCGCACAAGTTGCATGTTACACAACAAACTATCGCTGCATAGCGGCGAAAGATTTTTAAAGAGACCCGACAATCACGCAATGCTCACAAGTCCCTGAAGAGGCTAGGATCGTATATGCATTGCATAATAATTGATACTCAGCGATAAGCATTGCCGCAGTAGAACACCGCCATGAGGTGAAACACATAAGGCACCACGGGGATCTATCTATCTATCTATCTATCTATCTATCTATCTATCTATCTATCTATCTATCCAACCGCCTACGTATGGGTGCCCTCGTGATCACCCCTCAACTTGGGATTAACCAAAATTAGTAAGGGAGGGTAAGATGGTTTGACGAGTACGACTTCCTGGTCATGACATGTCACAATCCCATCGCATACGTCGTGAAACGCTTTCCGCCAAACAGCGGCACATACCCGTGGGTGGGTATTGGCCACTGGTATGCGGGTACGTGCCACAGGTGATTGACACTTCATATCTACCGAGTAATGGCGAGAACACACATGGGTAATTTTAACGCCTGAGCGTCAAGAAAAAGCTCACATCCGCAGAGTTCACCTGACGAATGCAATGAATAAATGTTAGGGTCCAAGCAGGACTGCTGACCCGCAAGTCGCGGAACCGAATCCCGGCTGCGGCTGCTGCATTTCCGATGGACGCAGAAATAATGTAGGCCCATGTACTCAAATTTCGGTGCACGTTCAGAACCCCAGGTGGTCGAAATTTCTGAGCCCTCTACTACGGCGTCTCTCATAATCGTATGGTGGTTTTGGGACGTTGAATCCCACATATCAATCAATCAAGGTCCAAGCAGGAATCGAGCGCAAGCATTCTGCGTGGCAGTCAAGAATTCTACCATAGAGTCATGTCAGGTCTTGGAACTACTTTTCAAACGACCCTAATGTTCTTGAAACGTCAATTGTGGTTGCAGTGCTGGCTATCAAATTTGATAAACATTGCATATGTACTCCCATGATTCAGTGGTTTCTTCGGGTTAACATCAATTGTAGTCAAATGCCATCCGCTGAAGTTAATTCATGTAGCAACATCCACGTCTACCATCCTCGCCAGCACCAGCACTTCGGATCGGCTTACCGCTTCTGGGGTTGCTAAAAGCCATTTTGCCGTTTGCAATGTTACGCAACTGTAAACAACTGGTTACACAAAACACATGTTTAACGTATGGCTGTGCGTGCATTCGCACAAATGTTTAGCGTCACTTCGTAACATTTCGCTCAATGAACAAAAATACAACAGAGTTACTTTCCACGCGCCTTACATCGAGTCGCAAGATACGTGGGATCTGCCTAATTTTTCTGCTATGGACTCACCACAACAGCTTGGTAGCTACTGTGAAAAGCTGCCGCCGCCATTGTGGCTGTGAATTCTGTTTTCGTTATGACGGCCACATTTTTGACCATGGTGAAATTCAACCACACAGGTACGTATGTCTACTGGCACCATCAGGTCGATCGTACCAAGGAATTTCTGTAGGATGGTGTTTATGTGTAGAAAGGCTAAATTTGGTAACTGATGGTCGATGTGAAGGCGTGTTAATATTTAAGTATTACCCAAAAAGTTAAAAAATGCGAAAATTTCTGGGGGCATCAGACCTTCTCAACTCCGCCTATAGTTACGTCCCTGTGGACGGTAAAAAATTCCAGGTGGTCAAAGCTAATTTAAAATGCCTCACTACCAGAAGTGTGCCATGGTGAGAGAAGAGGGGGCTACCCTCCGCCGAAAATAATCTAAAGGGGGCGCTGATTCCACCCAGTACCTTTGCGCAGTAGGATTTCAAAGATCTGTAATGTGCAGGCTTATGCATACACGTGCTGTTTTTTTTTTTTTTTGCGATAGCAATTATATGGACAGCCTTGACGGTTTTTTTTTTTTTTTTTGTCGCCATGAAGTCCCGTACGAGGTCCAAATTGAAAAGATCCCTCAGCGCATCGTACGGGCGACGACGAACACGGCTAAAGCAGAGATCAAAAGAGCGGGCCCACGACCCATGTCCAGCGCTCGCGAGGTGCCTGCGAAAAGATCCCCTCCCCCCCCTGCCTCCCCTGTTAGACCGGCCGTCGAGTGCTCAAGCAGAGAAGAGACGTCCCGCCCGTCATTAACAAGCACGAAAGACACAAGTGAAGAGGGGGTTTGCTCGAGCAGTAACAGTGAACTTTGATTTTATGGGCGTGGCCACCATCGCTGGCGTGTGTGCTATCTCTGCAGCCAACAACGGGCGGCTCGTATTCCCTTCCACGTGCTGCGGTCTCAAAGCGAAGGGCCTGTGCGAAAAGTGTTCCTAGAGCGGCCGTATTCTCTAACACCAGCCTTTGATAGAGTTGCCAGCCTCACTTCGTATAACACTATATTTGTTGCAATTACATTCGTTTGCTTCACCCTTGCGGTGAAAACAACTTTTTTTTACAATAACGGCAATTATGGGCCTCTAATTCTGCATTCACAGATCTAGTTGCTTCCCATCTTTACTCCCAGAACGCCTTGGAACAAAGGGATGCTTTTCACTCTAACATATAAAGAAAGGGGTATGGGGGTCGGTACTTTAGAGGAGTAGCCATTTCCTCCCCTTTGGGGGTAGCTACGAAGTTACTCTTCTCTCTTGCAGTTACTCCTCAAGGGAGCAACAGTTATATTGCGCTACAGAAAAATCAGATCTTGACTGACTTAATTAGCATTTTGAAGTGTGTACAGGCATGTAATTACATGTGCACTCGATGAGCAAGCATTACATTCAGAGATGAATTTCATAAAATTTGCAGCAAACACACGGAATTCGAACTCACGACAACTCAGTGAGCCTGGGCGTACACTTACCACAGCTCCACGCCACGCTACGGCCCCGTATGGAAGGAAACAAGCTTGCGTATACCCACCGACGGGTCGCTCGCGCACGGCGTGAGCATTCAGGCAGTTATTCCGAGTAAGGGCGTTTTTCTCCACAATGAGAAAAGCGTAGCATGTGCGAACTTTCACACACATTTCGCCTTTTGGAGGAGCAAAGTACCCTTTTCGGTATAACTGTGCAGCTACTCCGGAAAACTTCTTTAGTGTGTGTGACAAGCACGCTATCACTTAATTTTCATTATGCATTCCTTGTGGAGCTCGTTGTCTTTCTTATACGACTGGGGGGGGGGGGGGGGGGGCTGTGGTGTAACCCGGTTTTTCTAACAAAGATCTCTGGGCACGACTGAGCTTACATGCAGCATGTTTCATAATTGTATCTCGACACGCAAGGATTCTGAACTTAGTTTCACAGCAAAGCTGTTATAAGATGAAAACAAGTCCGTAACTGCTATAAGATGAAAACCGCCGGTGTCCGTAACTGCTATAGATCACGCCGCAAAATGAGTGGGAAAGAAGCGAAATAAGCAAAAATACCCAGGATGGACTGGTGTCCGTACAAGACCCCCGACGTGGCAGCCCACTATATTACCATGCCGGTGCTCGAAACTTCTCCGCAAAAAGACCCGCTGGCGTGATGTCGCGAAGGAGCCACATTAACGCATCTAATATATATCGTATTAGAAGTGTAAAATAAAAAAGCGTTACACAACGTGACTTGCGTAACCAGGCGTCCCCCAATGCGAATTGTGTAACGAGTGGGTTGTTGAGTACCTCTGGCATTAAAAAGGTCTAAACAGTAATTCTGCCCCACCGCGGTGGTCTAGGGGCTAAGGTACTCGGCTGCTGATCCGTAAATTGCGGGATCGAATCCCACGGAGCTGCGGCGGCTTCAATTTCGATGGAGGCGAAAATGCTGTAGGCACGTGTGCTCACATTTGGGCGCACGTTAAAGAACCCCAGGTGGTCGAAATTTCCGGAGCCCTTTCTGGAGATAAATAAATAGTGTGGTGACTATGAACAGGGCTTCGTGGGGTCAAAACTTCTTAGTTTTCTTTGAACAACTGGCCAACGCTTGCTATTTCTCGCCATGGCCCACAAAAGTGTGAACGCTGTCCAAATAGGGAATCGCGCTTTTTAAAAGCGCTGGTAATCGGGCACCACGAGTGTAATGCCCACCACTCGCACCGAGGTATACGGCTCTGGCATGCCTCCGCGTGCGTCGGCTGAACGTCTTCAACGGCATAACGAAAGCGGACTCGTCGACGTGCACAGTGCGCCGAATGGAACATTTCTAAACAGCTGCCGTTATCCGCAGCGGGCGTTGTAGAGTACCTTCAGTTCTCGTGATTCTTAACTTCTCTATCTCGCATCGAGAATAATGAGGCCTGCTGTACACATCCTCTCTCAACCTCTTTCATATACGCATGGTTCTACCTCACGAAAGACAGTTGCAGCACATTCATGGGGACAGCTGCGACGTCACAGGCGTTGCACTGTACGCACCCTCACCTCTCTTTTCCTCTTTCTTTTCTTTTATTTTTGAACAGCACAGTGTAACTAGAACTAAGCTCGCGGTGGAAACGTCAACTGCGTACCATAGTGAATTGCCTCGTTGAAAAAATCTGGTGTTATTATTCTTCTCATTAAAATTTCTTGAAAGAAAAAATAAAGACGGTTACCTTACGGGTATAACCTTAACAAACCTGAGAATTCTTGTTATTTAGTAATGTATTTTAATAACTGGCATGTATCAAAAACGAAAACGTCGCTGGCATCACAACTAATAAGGCTGTGTTGATGAAGGGACGATATAGATGTGAAAATCCACTGTTCTGGCCACATATTTTCTCCATTCGTCCAATTCAACCATATCCATGAGTTGAATCCATGAGGATTCAACCATAAGGAACCTTAGCATGCCAGATCATAGCTATCGATCGATTGCACATTAATCGTCATTCATTGACGAATTCTCACAATGTAAAGCTGTATGCGGTGACCGAAGATGGCAGTGAGATAAAGCCCACGATAAGATGGCAAACAAATGCATTTTTTTTTTTGCTAACGCAGGTGTGGCTTCGAGGTCCGTGATCTGTCGGGCACATGCCGATGCACCACAGGTCATAGAGGTCTCACCGAATCTCATAACTATATATATATATATATATATATATATATATATATATATATATATATATATATATATAGGGAAAGAATTGTATACTTAAGGGCTCGTTTTTCCGTGTTTTCAGGCAATATTAATGAGATCTAACAGACAATAATACCAAGGAATGTATAGGGGAAGATATTAGACCGAATTGTAATGTAAATATGAAGAAAAGTGGGTGAAAAGATAACTTGCCGTGGGCAGGATCCGAACCTGGGACCTTCGAATGACGCGTTCGATGCTCTACCACTCAGCTACCACGACAGCTATCGCCCAGCCACTTTTATTTGGTTAATATGTGAATTAAACGTGGGAGTGTTATATATATATATATATATATATATATATATTATATATTATATTATATAGATATATATATATATATATATATATATATATATATAGATATATATATATATATATTTATATATGTATACTGTAAAACACCACTAATTTGTCGCTCTCTCCCGTTTCCTTCTGTACCACTATGTCGACGCGACATGTTCACATAGCGTCGCACTTGTTCGCAAACCCTGACGAAGACCGGTCCACCGGTCGAAACCGTTGGAAATAAAATTAAGACAACCGCTACGTTGTGTCTCTTCTCTCTCTCTCTCTCTCTCTCTCTCTCTCTCTCTCTCTCTCTCTCTCTCTCTCTCTCCCTATATATATATATATATATATATAGTCACTTAGGCCTCATGATGCATCTCTTTTGTGATGAACGTGTCCACACTCTATTGGGTTGCACTGCCGTGTAGGGAAAGTGATTTTAATGAATTCCATGAAAGATTACGCTGTTACGCTTCTTCAATAGTACTCCCAGCCTCATTCTTCTTTTGCATGTCCAACAGAAATCGTGCGTGGAACGAAATACGGGCTATTTAGTTCGTTTTGTTTATTCTTTCTCGGGAAAAAAATGGAAGGCTGGTCCGCACAATGGGCACGCGCGAGCACGAAGACAGACTCGTATAAGCGACGGCGTCCTCAATTGTCGACTGTTCGCGAAACCCTAACTTGATTTCGCTCGGTTTGCGCAACCTGAGCCTAACCTTTCAGAAGGCACGTTTATTTTTTTTTTCTTGTGCGTACAATTCTAAGAAAGCACGATAAAACACGCTTCTTGCTTTCCCTTTGTTTTGTTTTTTTCGTCAAGTATTACTCAGAAGAGATGACATTCTCAACACAGCATCGAATTTGCTCTTCTCAGGGTACAGACAGGCCTACTACAGGTCTCAGAGGAAGGTATACTGCTTTGAATTCCATTAAGATAACAAGTGAACGAGAGCTTCGTTCAACGCGAATAGTGACGAAACCGTGACATATCAAGAGTTGTGCGGTTAAAAAACGGACAACCACTTTCGCAATAATTATAGAGGAACACGAGTACGTTCATTTCTTATTCCGTTCCAGCTTGCTCAAGACCAGCACGTGGCGCCAGTGCGAGAACGAAGTTACTTTTGTCTGTACATTGTGAAAGAACCATAATGCCATAATTGACGGGGTTTGATGTCCCAAAACCACGATATGATTATGAGAGACGCCTAACTGGAGGGCTCCGGTAATCTGGACCATTTGGGGTTTTGTAACATGCACCTAAGCCTAAGCACACGGGCATCGAGTACATTTGCCTCCATGGAAAATGCGGCCGCCGTTGTAAAGAATCGCAGCACAGCCGACACCAAGATTTTATGCGCAAGATCTCATAGATCGGCATAAATCGCGTACTTTTTTCTCTTAGAAGTCAATCAAGTCACAATATTACCCATTTCAGAACCGACAAATAGATCCGATCTGATATCATTGGGTTCACGTATATACGTAACTAACTGTCGAATCTTACCTTCTCTTGTTGGTCTCCCTGGGAGCCGTGAAGGCAGTTCCCGACAGTTGTTCGGCATAGAGACCGTAAGGGCACACTTGTGGGTTGTTCTGCAAAGGGATTTAACGATCCGTCATAGGCGAAAACTGCAGAAACAAAAAACGATACGGGTTTCGCGTTCTCAACCTAAAATTAAAGATTTTAAGGTCGACGCCGTATATGTGGACTGCCCAAGACTTATCCCATATCAACCATGCACTGTCATGCCTTGGGGTCTTGTTTTCTGCTTGGTAATGTCTCGGTAATGTATCATCACCAACATCTTACAAATTCATTAGATGCGTTTTCACTGATTCAATGTTGTATACTATACTGCAGCGTGCTAAATGCTCTCTCCGTTGACTATTTACGGGCTCTAACTCAACATTGAGTTTGGTTTATCTGCACCTCAATCTCCGAGTCCACGTGTTGTTTTTTTTTCTCAAACTAATTCAGCATCTTCTTATGAAAGCGATATCGTATTCCCAATTACTTATATTGCCAAGGGCATGTTCACAGGCCATTATTTTAACGCCTTGAGGCTCCCGCGAGACACTTGAACATGTACGTCATTTTAGGGTGTCCTACATTCGTTTGTTCAGTGGGCATGGCTCATCAGAAAATATGGACTTACAAAAATTACGTACACGATCCCTGATGATTGTCTGATGTCGTGCACGGCCTGACCAGGCCAATCGGGCCTTCTGAGTTTCGTGAACAAAGCCGATTTGACACCTCGTTTACAGACGTCTTTTCATGTAACTACGTATTTGTGTTTATGTCTGTGTTATTTTCCTTTCTTTATTCTCATATAATTTCTTCTAATCTTCCTCTCCTCTTTGTTTCCCCTTCCTGAAGCAGCAGGCAAGCGTTGCGTGCCTTCAGGTGGTAGTTGTCAGCCTCTTCCCTCCACGTTTTATGTGTATATAATATATTCAGGCTTGTGTGTCTCCGAACACAACAACAACAACAACAACAACAACAACAATAATAATAATAATAATAATAATAATAATAATAATAATAATAATAATAATAATAATAATAATAATAATAATGCGTTCAGCGACAATCTCACAAACACCACCTTTCCTTCCAAAAACTTCTAAAAACGATCTCCCAGTTTGGTTATATTGTGGCTACTCGACTGCTTAACTGCATTGCTGCCTTCAGGACGACATCCAAAGAAAACAGGTGTATAACGTTAAGTACTCACCCCCTCCCCCCTCCCCGCACGGGCGCCAAAGAGTGATGCGTAGTCCGATATACACCACCTTGCAATCGTGGCCGCCGCCCGCACGACAGGACGCGTGCGCCTCGCATTTTCCTCCTAAGCGTCTCAAACCATTCACTCGGTTGTGAGCAGTCATCGTATACAAACGGCCATGTTTGCGACGTGTTCTTTACAGCGCGTGCGAGCTGTCTGTCTTGAGCGTTTTGTGGATATTTATTGTTGTGCTATACGCACTAAGTTGCTGCGTACTCGGTGTCGTAGTGAAGCCGATGCCTAAGTGACAAGGACGTGACAAAAAAATAAAACCGAAATTGCCCTCGTGATCACGGCGGCGTCCATGTCGTGCGCGCAAAAGTTCAAGAAACACAACAAAATTGCTCAATGCCTTTCTACGGGGTGATAAACATGCATTCGCATAAAACTTCCAAAGAGAGAAAGAAAGGGCGACACAAAGTAAGTAAGTAAGTAAGAAAGAAAAAAAGAAAGAAAGAAAGAAAGAAAGAAAAAAGAAAGAAAGAAAGAAAGAAAGAAAGAAAGAAAGAAAGAAAGAAAGAAAGAAAGAAAGAAAGAAAGAAAGAAAGAAAGAAAGAAAGAAAGAAAGAAAGAAAGAAAGAAAGAAAGAAATATGAGCCGACTTTACAACTTTTTTCACTCTATGTCAATGGTCAGCACGTATACTCTGATCTGAGAATTCCCTTCGAAACGGACTTTTGATTAGAGACAGCATAGTCATTGCGTGTCGGCGTTTCAGCAGGAATTCTTGATAGGCGTCGCTAAAGACATACACAGAAGGAGTGCACATTCCGGCCCTCGTTAATTCCACGGTAACGCCTCCGGCTGCCAATTACGTACCGCTCGTACAGCATTCGCTGCATTTTCACAGTCACGAAACGCAAACAGATGCATAAATGAGTGATTTATTGTAATTTTATTGACTTTTCCTGTGCGTTTCTTTGTCGTTGTTTCTTGTCCTGTTTACAAAATGTGGACTCCGGGCGAGGACTGTCTATACAGAAACGTATGAAAAAAAAAGTTTAAGGATTTACCGCCTGCATAATATCTGAAAAGCGTCAATACCTGAAAAGTGTCAATACATGACGCTCAAAACGTACGCGTGACTTAAAACATTGGGAACAATTAAAAGGAGAAATCAGCCGCCTGAGAAAGTGAGACCGATTCTTGAGTATGCTTGCTCCAAACTTAACAAGAATATTGAAAAATGTGACCAATTATTGTGACATATGGCCAATTCTTGAATATTCTCGTCCAATGTGGGATTCTCTCGGTGATAGGTTAATCCATAAAAAGGAATGCATAAAACATAGACCCGAGAACATTACCACTCTTTTATACAACCTTTACTAAATGTAAGCAACAACATGAGCGACCTGTGGGTTGGAAATCTCTTCTCCAGTGCAGATAATTTTCGAGTACAACGTTTTCGTAATAATTTATTAATCCCAACATTGGCACTAATAAAAGTTTGTACGTCGTGAACCCACACTACATGTCGTCCAGAAATAGCCGCGCCACGCAAATTGCCAAGTAAAGTGTCGCAAGGACGTATTCGCGCAATTTTCTTTGTTGTTCTTGTTGTTTTCTTGTGGGGTTCGCGAATAAAATTTATTGCGTCTCACTCTTCTCACAGCACAAATATTTTCCTTCGTTGATACATGATGGCTGTTACCTTGAACAAGAATGGCTCCTTCAGAATTTTTATTGACTAAACAATTTTGTTTATTTGGACGTTATTGTTATTTCGCTATTGTTGGTATACTTGCTATAATTCCTGCAATAGCAGGGCACGGTCCTAAATAAATAAATAAACAGCTTCTTCAGCGAGACATAGCGCATGATTTCTATGTAATTTAATTATTAGTTATTTATCAATTATCTATAGGCTATTTCTTGGCTATCGAATGGCTATTACAAGGTACTGGTCATGCTTTCCAGGCTAGGCTAAGCTCAATCAAGCATTTTCTGGAATTCGCTGGTCTTTAGTCGATTTTTGATTACCTATTGATTGGCCATCGCGTGGTATCAATTGCTCAACTAAGCTTAACTAATGTCAATCATGTACAGCTAATATTAGCCAGCCTTGACTAATCTTAACTTATACTATATCTATATATAGATAGCCGGCCAGGCTGTGCATTGACTATACTCTGTGCAAAGCCTAATCGAGTTTTTTGGAACGTCGCATTTGCCAACTACTTTAAACAGCACCACTGGTAATAAATAAATAAATAAATAAATAAATAAATAAATAAATAAATAAATAAATAAATAAATAAATAAATAAATAAATAAATAGGGATTAGATAAAGCATAACGTGACAGCATATATCAAGACAGCAGATTCTATTAATAAAAAACACAAAAAATATTTCAATATGCTGTAACATAAAAACATTGACACTCCCTATACGTAAAAAAAGGTCCCATTTACTTCAGTTATTGCGTTAAGTGAAGAAGAATTAGCACAACTAATTGATGTGTGCGAGTATTTCCGAAATTTTAACGTGCGACGGGTACTGAGAATGCAAATTTGAAGCTCAATCGGGGTCGTACCCAGTAACTTTTTTCACGTGGTGTTTATGTGTTCATTGGCTAACTTTGGCAAGAGGCCGTCAATGCGAAGGCGTGAAAGCCCTTTAGTATCACCTGAAAAGTCAAAGCACGAAAAAATTTAGGGGCATGTCAGAACCCTCTTGGCTGCCCTATATAGTTGCGGCTCTGTGCTTAATGTTTTAAAGGCTGACAAAATTTGCTATATCGTGACGAAGATAGGGGAGGCTATATGAGTCTCGTTCTTTTTTTCTTTATTGACCATTTCGAGCTTCCCGCTATCTAATAATCTCTTACATGGATTTCATATAGGTATGTATTTGGCCCACTCTACCCGTTGCCTATTTAAACAGTTTACTATGAGCATCGTCCGAAAAAAAATATTTGCCGAGCTGTTTCATATGTGAACCAGAGAACATAATCACACTTTGGATAACGCTAGCCACACTTTGGCTACCTTTAGTTAACGTTAGCTAACGTCAGCCAAAGTTTAATTATATTAGAGAGAGAGAAACGAGAAAAGAGGAAGGCAGGGAGGTTAACCAGATGCTAGTATCCGGTATGCTACCCTACACTGGGGTTGGGGAATAGGGGGTTGAAAGAGAAAGGGAGAGTTAAAAAAAAATAAATAAGAGAAAAACACCGACACACACGCGCACGCAAAATCAGTCCACTCAGAGGCGTTCCGACAGGCCAGTAGTTCGTAAGAAGCCCAGTAGCGCTTGCACGGCTTTCTTCTGTGACGATGAGTCATGACGATGGCGCAGTATACTTTCTTCTGACAGCGGCTGGTCATCTAACCTGTTTAGTTTATTAGAAAGGTGTTGTCTTTCCAGGTTGTATTTCGGGCAGTCACACAGGATATGTCGAATTGTTTCTTCATCTCCGCAGTGTGCACAGTCGGCGGTGTCGGCCATACCTATGCGGAAGGCGTACGCACGGGTAAACGCGACTCCCAACCATAGTCTGCACAGAGCAGTAGCGTCGCCTCGTCGAATTTTTGTTGGAAGGTGCATGCTTAACGTTGGATTAAGGGATCGTAATCTTGCATGCGTAAAAAGAGGCTCATTCCAAAGAGCCATGGAGCGTTGGCGAGCAAGCATTCGGAGCCTCCTAGCAGCGTCCGTTCTTGAGAGAGGTATTGACTGGTCGTTGTCTTCTGTATGGGCTGAACGGGCTGCTTGATCAGCTCGTTCGTTACCGATAATTCCACAGTGGCTTGGCAAACACTGAAATATAACGTGATGCCCTTTCTCTGTTATGTGGTGTAGCATTTCTGCTGTTTCAAATACCAACTGCTCGTGTGCACCACGGCGTAGATTTGACAGAAGTGACTGCAGTGCTTTAATTATATTATGTGACCATGCAAATATGGTATGTGGTTAGCCAAAGCGTGATTATGTATCGGCAATGTTTAACCAATGTGCAGAAAGCTGCCATATACGAAACATCTGCGAGAGCGCCAGCAGAACAAAAGAAAGCGTAATTAAGTTTTACTCTTCGTCTTAAGTATAATAGCCACCAAAAATTTCTTACCTGGCCTTCGGGAAGTGACCCGGGACACCTAGGATCCTCGGACGCGAACTCGCTGCCGAAACCCGTCAGGTACTGGAAACAATATTAATCTCTAAAGCATGCAGTTCAGCACTCCGTGCAGCAAATCGGGCATTTTTGTTAGTTTGCTTTTGTGAGCCTCATTTGAAGCCAGCTATATGGCACGAGAACAGAACCAACACACAGGGACAAGAACCGGGACTGTGGGTTCGTTCTGTTCTCGCGCTATAGCTGTCATCATGTCATACTAACTAGCTCAAGCTGCCACACTTCAATGTTTCAATTGAAGCATTTCTTCATTCGTTCATTAGTTCATGTGTGTTTGCTTATCGCTAGTTTTTTTTTTTTTTTGTTAATGCACAAGGCTGTAATCTATTTATCGTAAATTACCCCGCTTTGCACATCGCAGGACCACACACCCCTCTAGCTCTAACTTGAAGAGATGCACACGGGGAATCGAAGCGAATAATTGGCAAACTGATATTATTTGTTTCGCAGTTACTCACTATAACTTTTGCACTCGGTCCCACAGTGTACTTAAGCATAATACTGTAGAAGCCTACTCGGCAACATCACCCAAATGTTATAACCATTTATTTTGCCCGAACCAACCTATTCGAATACTCTTTTTATTTCCCGCGCACCATTAATGCATGCAGGTTTGTAATGATTTACCTATGTAGACACTATATATCATTATCCTGTATTTTTACACTTGCATTGTTTAAAGTAGTGCTCTTAAAAATGTGTTTTGCTCTTTATTCAGTTGTGTGCCAGAATTCCATCGTTCAACATTATATTAATTTACTTTTGTCGACTTATTGTGTTCTACACACCCTGCACGGACTTCATTTGCTCAGTAGCTAATAAATAAATAAACAAATACAGTTATTTATAATACCTAATTGGTTTGCGGCACGTATATTGAGATTAACAAATCGCAGTCGGTGAGAGCCCTTCCAAAGAATTCTCGATGCACTCGAAACGAATTCGTAGGACATGTGAAAAAAAAAAAGCGCCTCAAAATGAAAATTTGAGCTGTATTTTTTTTAATCTGTCGAATATGCATATCCAGGCTCATCATCCATTCTATCTTTATATCCAATCACCATGGAGTCTACAACTGTTCGTTGTGCTGAGTTTTTTTTTTTTTTATCAGCACCCTCGTGTGTCATGATTTCCCCTCGTGTTTATCCCTGTGACTTACGTTATCAGTGTTCAAGTGGTTTACTCAACAAGCTTGCTATATCACTTCAGAAATCTAGCGTGGTACATTTTGATAGCGCCCGGCTCTTAATGGTGTCATAAACCACCGCACATCATCATTACCATCATCATCAAAACTGTAGCACTTAGACACATTTCTCAATGTTTGAAGCCACCCTAGCTTGGTGATGTCAACTTCTGAGAGCGAGTTGACTGATTCTTTTTATCGCAACTTTTGTTGAAGTAGTACGTTGTTGCTGCGATAGCTGTTATAAACACAAGATTCTTGATTATTGACGCTCTTGCGTTCTGCAGAGAAGATAAAATGTAATATTTATCACAATCTGTAGGGGTTTCTTTGTTTTAGGTTTTTTTTTTTTTTTTGGAGACCCACAATTCCGGTGATGTGACAGGAAAAGTATGCTTAAAAACGCTTAACCAAAAAATCATATCCGTTATGTTGCCTGCTCTTTCCCTCAGTTCTGAAGATTGGCGTCCAAAGATATATATATTCCAGCATAGCGTTTGTTTTTTGTGTTTTTTTCTTGTACACTACGTGACCGCGTGATTACACTGCGTGACTCACGCCTGCTGCACCAACAAAACAACGAAAAAAATGCAGCCCAATGGATAATAACATCAACAACGACCCCCCTCTTCCTAGAAAGCGAAGCCTTGTGAGATACGGAAGGAATTTCGTCTCTTCTGCCTTCATCTGTTTATTATCATTGGAGAACGGGAAAAGAGAGGAGGGGGAAGGGAAGTCTTTTGAGCACCGTCTAAAGAGCCCATGCGATGAGATCCAGTCTGAAGTCGCACTTGTTACGTCGGGTAGTTAATGCAGCCGCACCGGGTGGTTGTTGTCCTTGAAGACGAAGAAACTGTAGCCCAAGGCGGCGTGGAAGAAGTCCCAGAATCCTGTTTGGCTCGCGCGATCTATCTCTCTCTTATTTTTTTCTTAACACGTAGCTTCGCGATAGGCGCGTTCCTGAGACTAGCCCCTCCGGGCGAGGGGATGCCGCGAACGAAAGAAAAACAATAACAAAAAAGCTAATGAGACAAGATGGCTATCCGCGCGTATTGGCCTCAAGTATCGTCTGCTGCTGTAATTTGCGCGCCGTTCGCATCACGTGGAAGTAAAAAAAAAAAAACAGCTGACAAGCCCGTCTGCAGCGGAAGCGCTTGGATTACTTGATTTATCCCTCTATTTTGCCTTATTTTTTTTTCGTGCTTCTCCTAACTGTCTATCATTTTCAGCGTAGTTGCTCACAGAGATAACATTAGAGATTGTGAATATGCGTTTCGCGCGCTCGTAATACAAAACCGTCTCGGTGAAGAGATCTCCGACCTTATTTTTCTCTTTTGACCCGAGAGTCCTTGTGGATGGCATCGTAATCCTTGCGTGAAATGCACATAAAACTTGCTACGTTCTGGCAACCCACACGACGCCTAAAATACTTGCTAGTTTGTCTTCTAGCGCCATAGTTTGTTACTTATGGCATCGTTACGTGCATCGGATGCACTGTCAAATAAATTTGATACCCCCGTCAACGATATATCTACAAGCCGGCCTTGGCAGCTTCAATGTGGACTCTCGCAATCTGTAGCTTAGAAGTCACGAAAAGATGGGTCGTGAAACATGCACATACATCGCATGGCACAGCTGATCTGTCCATGGAGATGATAGCAAGGCGCAGGTTTTATCCGGGAGTTATGACCTGTTTCACTTGTTGCACGCGCTTTAAACATGTACAGTAAACACATGTGACACTATATACACCAAACGCGAATTCACACATGGGCTCATCATACGTATGCTTGTTTTAAATTGAGGCGAAAGTAAAAAGAGAAACGAGCGCACAGCGTGGCAGTAACGCATGCAATACTTACGTGGAGTTCCTCTTTCTTTGACATCTTGTACACGTCCACAAAAACGTAGCGAACACACTGCCGCGGCGAAAGACTGTCGGGATTTGACGTTTCTCTGATTAGCCGCGGGGAGCTCTTGGCCGCCCTGGGAGCTTATCGCCGGATAATGAGAGCGCTCAAGTTTCGCTCATTCGTGGGAGTGGCCTCTCGTGTGAAGCGCTTCACGACGTCTCGTCCCTAGCCTACCGCATTTCACTTCGCGCGTCTAGAGCGACAGTGGCGTGTTGCAGCGATCAGGAAAAACAGTTGGTTGAGTAACCTCGGAGAGCGCACCGTTTAATCACCGCGCCGTTCCAATAAGTGGCTTCGCGGAATGACCATCTTCTGGTGGCGACTCGCATCAGCAGTTTCGGTTGCCATTATTATGTCCTTTGAGATAACTGAGCGTACGCGTTTAGATTTTGGAAGCCATACAAGCACGGTGAAGGTTTCAAACACCGCCAACAGATGTCAGGACACTTTGCATTGCTTTCTGTGAGAATCAATTTAGAATGTAAAGCCCCTTCGAGCAGCTTAGCAAAGTTTAAGCTTGTAAAAATAGCGGAAATTCGCGCGTAATTGAGAAAACAAGCGTGACCGTGAAACGCAAGCACGTCGAAATCACGTGAACAAGCATGGCGCTTTATTGTTTTGTCTTATTTTTAACACCACTTCGCGTCACGTGACAAAGTATGGCGTCCGCCACAAAACTCTGTGAAAGGCGATCGTGGTTGGTGTTTCCATGAAATTCTCATGCTCAAAAGGTAGGAATGCGATCGTTTACAAAGGCGCCAACGCTACCTGCGCGCTCACTCTTTGCCGCGCAATTCTGTAAGAACGTTCGTGAGTGCCATTGGAAGCTGAAGATAGCTGGCCAGTCGCTTTACCAGCGCTTGATTTTGCCGCCTAGTTTGTGTGACTACGCGGCTGGTTACTACGACTAGCCGGACGTTTATCGCGGATGTGTTGACCCGCGGGGTCGTGACACTCACGGGGGTCGGTGTTGTGAGCACCGTTTTAATGCTGTCCTCGAGACGCGGTTTGTGGCAGTGTTGTGCTCTTACAAGCGTGCAAACGAAGCGAGCGGCAGCTGTTTTTGGTAACGGTTGTATGTGGCAATCGTAGAGTGTGTCTCTTTGGAAGTCCGACGCCCCGGCTCGCTGGTCTTCTTTCGTTTATGGAGTGCGAAATCGCCGCTCCAGCTCTGTGTCTTGCGTTTCGAACCGTGTGCTTCCAGTGAGCAGGACGGTCTCTTTCCTAATTTGGAAAGCAAAAACTTGAGACCGCCACCACGAAGCCGTGGCTTCGCGGGCGGTCCAGAAAAAATAAACGCGCCGAAATAGTTGCGCTTGTTGACCGCAGGTCAACACAGACTTCGAAACGGTTAAGTTGCGCGCTTTGGGAGTGTTATTTGTCCCGTATCCGTAACCTGTCCTGCTTTTCGTTTGGTATTTATTGTGACATTTCCTGCTTTTTGTTTGGTATTTATTGTGCGGTACGTACTGCGAGTTTTCATCAGGTCGTACTACGGGTTATAAATCATAAAACAAGCGCAAAAAAAAAAACTCAGACGCCCGTTGGAAACTTTCGTTTGACATTTGTTCGAATCAACCTGCTCTCAAGAACGATCGATTGAAGCTCAAAAGGCTGCCTAAAATCGTAAGCCGGCATCCAACTTTTTCTGTCGTGCTGGCGCTAAAATTGAACGGCCTTGCGCTACTGTGCGTAAAACTTGCAGTGTCAACTGATGATCTCCGGATATCCATCCACTCTTGTTGTTGCTACCGTGTTTGTACTTTTGCGAGCGGCACGCATTCCGTATCGCGCCGGCAAACTTCACCGCTGTATAGATGTTTCGAGCTAACACACAGATACTGCTGCGCTGCGTCTGGTGTTTGAGACTTTGCAGCCGCGCAATGTGTACGCTGTGGTCTCCGCCCGAATCGCTGCGCTCGATCAAAGCGCGTAGGGGTGTTGTATATAGCACTTTATAGCGTATCATAAACGACGACGGAGCGCCGCTGAAGACAGCGACGGGCTCGCGTGGGGCTTGGTTCGCACTTTGAAAACTCGTTCGCATGTCGCACACTGACTACGGCGCCCTTTAAAACTTCCGTGCTAATGTTTAGTGAGTAAAGGCAGGGCTTTTCGTCCGTAGCTACTACGTAGCGGGGTTAGGTGTTCTGTGGCGTGGTCACACTCACCATCGAGCGCTCAGCATGCAGGTCTAGAACATCGGCTACTGACCCGTAGGTCGCGGGTTCGATTCCGGCCGAGGTGGTCGCATTTCGAAGGAGACGAAATGGTGGAAATGCATGTACTGGACGTTGTCGGTGCACGTTAAAAAACACCAGGGGGTGAAAATTTTCGAAGCCCCCCCCCCCCCCTCACTACGTCTCTCATAATCATATTGTGGTTGTGGAATGTCAAACTCCAGATAATAATATAAATAGGTCCACTATAAAGGTAGAAATCCTCAAAACCGGGCAAAAATGAATGAACAAGGTATTAAGTGATATAATTAACAGTAATATCAAAGAAGTAATCCAATAATTAACTTAAAATCGCTAGAAATAACCATTCAGAAACATGCGGTTGACACCCGCAAAGTGCAAAAGAAGGCGTTAAATGTCTTAATGAGCACGCAATTGCACCTCCAATGGATGCGTCTGCAGAACGGAGGTGTCGCATCGATCACAAAACAAGTTTCTTGCTTTATGTTCTTTGTTGAGTCTGTTCGGCAAGTATGGTGCTGTGTTACTCTGCTTGAGGATGTAGGGCGGATCCTCAGTCACTGGAGTCTTCTCATTTTGGCAAGGGTAAAGCACAAAATGATTGCTTCACTGTGGATTGCTTCACTGTGGTTCGCCATGCTGCTCAAGTGCCTTTCAATACATTATCTGGGGTTTTACGTCCTAGAACCACGACATGATTATGAGACACACCGTAGTGGAGGGCTTTGGGAATTCCGACTAACTGGTGTTCTTTAACGTACACTAACGTTGCACAGTTGACGGGCGCCTGCCATTTCGCCTCCATAAAACACGGCCGCCACGGTCAGGATCAAACCCGCGACCTTTGGGTCTGTAGTGAAGCACCTTGACCACCGCTCACTTCAACGTGGTGAACACTGAGTGCATCTCGGAGGCCATGTTGAAATTAGCGCTTGTTCAAGATCAACTCTGCGATGTGCCTCAACTATCCCAGCTGTTCACAAGAAAACTGCCTGCTCTTTCAACAAATGCATTCAATGAATTTTAATTATAATTTTAGCACCTAATTAGTCCTTACTTTAAGATTACCTGTGCTCCTATGTCACATGTATCTTATAAAACTCTTCGTTTGAACCAGAACAATAAATTTCATATCACTTCTTTTTTTATTTTAAGACTCGTTTGAGCGTTTTAAGAACCGAAAGCAGTTTCTTAATCAGAAGTGTTTAGAAGAGAAACAGAAGTGTCGCTTGGTGCTTGCGCCATAACCACATCTCGGTTCATGCATACTACTAATTTGTTCATTTAATTAAGTTTTTTTTTTTTGACAACTGTTTGGGTTCCTTTTAGAACCTTAGCATTTATAACCGCTGTGTTATCTATCTTTATCTCGCTCTTTGTGCTACTGACCTCTAGGCTTTCTAAAGCACATTGTAAGCAGCTTTTCGCTGATTCCTATGTACGTTAACTTGTCGCATAAAAGAACATTGTAACAGAGGTGGAGCACCCTTGGTATATATTGCTAGGTCGAACCTAAAAAAAAAAAAATACATGTTCACAACTAGCTGTGTTATCGGGAAGGCTTTCTACACATCGCAGCTTTTTGTGCTTGGTGGGTTCTCAGCTCCGCTGCAATGCCAACAAAGAAAAGTCCGTCTTGTTATCTAGCCACGATAAGTCGTGAGTGCCTCGCACGATAACTGACTTTCCCCCGTCTCTAACAGTCCTAGCGCTCTTGTTCCGTGCACTGGACGTGCTTCATGGTCCTTCTGAATCATTCTGCAAAGTAAGCAAGTCCCAGATTGTACGATCGATTGCTAGCAGAAATTTTAAGACAGCCCTGTGGCACATAGCGTGAGCTTGTTTTACATTTAAGTTGTATTACTTGAAGTGGCACACATTATTTACACTATAAATCAAGGTGTATTGGTTCACAATTAAATAAACTTTATTGATAACCTTTTAAACTAATTGTTGCAGCACAAATATTGCAATGTATGGAGTAAAATGGGTCATTTTCTTGCAGAAAGTCTCAAAAACTTTGAAACTAGAATCAGTTCTGAAATAGGGCGGTCAGTCTAGCCTTAACAATATAATGTTCTGGTTACTCCTTTAACGAAACATTGTTTTAATGGGTTAGCGCTTCCGTGTATCTGGAATGCCACCGCATTTTGTTGCGGACTTTTGGAACGCGTCTCAAAACTGGCGTCATCCTCTGAATTTAGTTCCTAGTGAGCGGCACTTTGTTTTCGTCTGCATCTTGTATGTCAGTAATGTGCATTATGTAATCGTTATACTTCATATGCAAATAATTAGCAAAAATTATCACATGCGACAACGCACCAGCCATATCCGAAATAGAATAAAAGATATTGTTTACCCCGCATGTACGTTAAAATAGATTAAGCTTACATTGACACTCGCAAATGACTGCACACTTGTCAATGGAGAGCCAGTCGGCATGTCGCATGAGAGTAGCTTGTACATTAATAAGCCCTCAGTTACTTTACGTTTAGGGGATCTGCAATTTCTTGAGAAACCAGTACAGCCAGTAGGTGATAGTGATGTGTAGGTAATTTTCTAGCTTTACAGCTTTTTAGTATTTATTCACAATGTAGTCTAATGTATAAAACAGTGAAGCTCATTTGGCATTAAGCAGTCATTCTGGTCTCTTCATAGTCCCACCATCCTGTTCTGTGTTGTAATAATTAGTACCAGAGTTTCTAGATGCAGCCCAGCTTACTAGCAAATAATCATTCAATTTCAAGCGCTGTAGAAGTGATAGTTTGATGAACTTTGCTATTTTTGAAAATATTTTTAATTATAATACAACGATACCAAGTGTGAAGGCAGGAAAAAGAATAATGTAAATCATTTTGTGCTGGAAAATATATGCTATTATGAACGAAAGCACATTTAAACTTTTTAACATAGTGGGGAGTGCTGACACCTCCTGTGAATTTGTCTGCGGTGGGCCCAAGTGGTGAGTCAGGCGTTAGCGACACCGCCTTGTTTGTCATGTTGAGTTTTCTTTAATATTGTGTAAGGATGTCTTAGCGTGTTGATCATGATTGATGTGGTAATGATTTGGCTGATAATATTATCGATCAAAAGCAGTTAAATAAATGTGTGTTTGGTTTGGTTTGTTCCGGCTGTGTATACTGTGTCCGTTCACTCCAAGAGCGTGGCGTGGCTCTCTCTATTTGGGGACTCCACAATAGTCTCCGAAGGAATTTCTACAATGGTCGCCGCACGTTTTCCAGAGTATGAGTAATGTTAATTACCCTCAACGTATGTTTGATTTCAACGATCAAACTTGCAAAGCATCGATGAATGCTCTATCAGTGAACGTAATGAACACTGAATTTACTTAAAGAAAAACGTGTATAAGCCTGGGAAACTCAACAGGCAACAGGAATATTCTGCTGGTGAGTCGGCAAAAAAAATGCGCCCACATTCGTCTATTATAAGCAGCCACGACAACTCTGATTAGTAGAATAAATGAATTTTATCTAACCACCAATATTTCATATATGACTGTAAGCTACTCA